TAACTACCCAATGCGTTATAGTATCTTTAGCTCTCCGTCCTCTCCACAATGCCCGGTATAATATGGTACAACGCAATAATTATAATTTACGCGATGTATTTTTTCAACGTCCTTTCATAAAAAAAGAACATTTTCGAAAGTACTTTTTACAATTTATAGGATTATTATAGAAATTGTAGTACAACTGTATACGATTAAATTCCAATTGCTTTTATATTTTAGCTCTTTTAGTCGAGGCACTCTATTCCCATAATACATTTTTTGTCCTTTATTAAGGATCGTTTGTCCACTGTACACGATTACTCTACGATTTTGCTTCTTCCTAAGTATTTCCACTTAAGCATATCGTCGTGTTAAGGCTGGTTTATTTTTCATCTCGTCTTGACTGCTCTCTTCATGCTGTCGATCTACTATTTTCCATCCTCTCCCGCGTGCCCTCCTACCCGTCATCACCTGTGTATGCCATTTGCCACACCACCACACCTTCTTGTGTTTGAATGCTATTCGCGGAGATAAACAAGATTTTTAAAATGTATTTTAATTGCTTTTTAAAATTCCTTTTAAACATAATGACAGGAATAAAAAATTCTGTTCAAGTCGTCGTCCAGTGTTTAACATATGAACTAACTGAAAGCCAACAGTAGATACCTACATTGTAACCTCTTACCTCCACTACTTATTATAGTACTTGTAGTATAGGTACACTGGGCATTATCGGTTTTTTTAATCTCTTCGCACGGCAATATCTTATATGACAGTATATCATGTATATCATTGTTTGTAACATCAAAAACTAAAACAAAAATGTATTTACACAATACTTTTTTTTAGACAATGTTTATGTTATATAATTTTTTAGAATAATCGCGCGTAATTGTTTTTTTATTTTTAACTGCACGAATTGTATATAAGTAGGCGGTACCAACGTTCTAAACACTAGCGCAAATTGTAGGTATGTAGGTAATGGTAATTATATTTTAAATCACTTTTACTTAGGTACAACTGCACTATATAATACGTCTTCCGTATGCGCGGAATGCACATTGCATTAATTAAAAATTACACAGTAATGGTGGTTAAGAGGTTTTCATACTGTAAAATTAAGTAGAGTTGAACATTTGTGGTTAACTGTGTTACACGTATTTCAATAAAACACAAATACCTTCTATAACTAGACGTCGAGGCATACTTACTTATTTGATTAAATACATATATTCTCTGTTCCTACTATTTTAATGCGGTTCATTAGAATTGTTCAAACGTAGTATAGTTACTATTATGTTGTTTTATCTCGGTCAAACCAATATGCAGTTTGTGGCACTTGTAAAACTTTATGAATTTTGTAAGTCATCATTATTGCAGCGAAGAAGCTATACCTACATTAGTTTTACTAAGAAGTGGTTTTTTCTTCTTCGACTAGCAAATTGTTTACAATGTACTTCAAACAATTTTAAAGATTTTCAACATAGTTTTTATAAAAGAATTAGAAGAACAAACAACAAATGATGATACGTTTTGATTTAATTTGTATTGATATCTGGGTTATCTTAATGGTCAGATACGTAGCAGGCTTTTTTTTAGAGGGGTACCAAACATAAAAGTGATCAGCAACCACCAATAATCTGATTATTTTTTGGTGAGAAACTCAAATTTCGGGTGAGAGGTACAGATTCCCCCTGGCTATGTGCCTGATCTTGGTCACAATGTAAAAAACATGATTATCAGTCTACTCTAACCTTATTAATTTACCGAGCTCCACTCGGAATATATTTTTGATTGGGATGATTTGTCGTGACTTTCGGTGTGTGGGCTATATTAAAATAATTTAGTTTGTATCTAATACTTTTTTAACTTGCCACCTGGAGTGGTTTACTCATCGTGCGAAGTACCTACGTCTGGTTTCAAAAAAATAATAATATTTGCTTTATTTATTCGTATTTTACTGGTCGAATTTAATTAAATTATCTGGGAGTATTGTAACAGATATAATAATTCACGTTCGTGAAAACAGTGTATCATATTTTTTCATATTTTACATTATAGGTACATACATTTCTCGGGGAAATATCATGACGGTTCGATTGATTCGATTTATCATTCATTTCATTTTTATTATTATGTGTAATTACCATGTGCGTTTAAACGTAAGTAAAGATAGGAAAGTCCGTTGTAGTCAAACGGTATACGTAGTCTATAATGCGCATTTCTTCATTTCTTTTTGGTCTCCTGGCCAAAGTTATAAAATTTGACACTTTTTTAGGAATGCCATCCATTTAGACCTCGCAATACCTGTCACGTCGACCATGTCAGCTCAATTTTTTTACATAATATTTTAATGTAATATTTATGTTATCAAGTTCACTATAATATTATGCGCATGTGTATTATATTTATTTCACATGAAATGTTGAGAATATTATAACAATATATTGTATTATTTATTTTCGTGCGAAATAATCGTTATCAAAATAAACGACACATAAAAAATATAGCGCGGGAAATTATTGATTATTAATATTAATTTAAAAAAAAAACTCAAAGAACGCAGTATTTTCAGTAACGTTACGGTATTATATGGACGTCGGTGTAGAATATTATAATCAATATATCGGTGTATTATTGGCTATTCATCTATAGATCTTATATTATATTATTATATAAGGCAGGTATACAGTAAGGTAGATACATTTTGACAATAAAATTACTTTTTTGTGTATTGTACATCAATCAAATTTGAAAAATGTGTGTGTAAGTGACAATAGCGCACCTCTCTATGTGCACGTAAAAACCGCGATTACAGATTGAAAACTATTAAATTCCGAACCGTATTAACGAGACTTATATTGCGCTGTCTTCGTCAGTGTTCAAAATTCGACGCACGCTGCAGATATCTATTATCATTGATTATATTATGTACAATAAATTGTACATATAATCAACGCTATTTTCTATATCATATAATAATGTCTGAACACAAGTACGTCGCGGTCAAATTAAATGTCAAAAAAACATAAAAATAATAATAATCAAACACGCAGTTTTATTGTTATTATGATCTATAGAGTCGGGCGAGTACGCGCAACTCGATATATTTCTTTTGTATTCGTAAACACGAGTAAGTACTCGACTTTCAATGACTGTTTTATCGCAAAAAAAAAAAAAAATAATAATAATAATAATAAAAACAATCGTGAAAATTTCTTCAGGTACAAACATTTCCGATAAAAATACCCATGTTGACGGTTTGAATTTTCAAAAATAGGTGGCTATGTTCTGTTTTCATAATAATTATACATTTAATATGTTTATTGTTTTCTCATTTCCCATTACCGATTGATAACCGCCTGTAACACCATCACACTATCCGCCACTTATCGGTCACTAGTGGCCACTAGTTGTTAACATACCGAGTATATTTGTGCCGTATTTTCAACTTTTACCGGGGCGAGTTCCGTTGTTTATAACAGTTATTTACCCGGACGTTTTTTTTTTGGAGGGAGTTCGATGTTAAATATTTATGCAAATTCCAATCGTCTAATGGCCTTACCGTAAACAACTGTAATCCTTCAATAATCGGTTTTCCGGGTAATAGAGTTTTTATCATAAAGGTATTAGCCTATTACCTTCACCGCGCTTGATATTATTTAGTCGCAGCTTGGTAACCTATAATAGCACAGCGGCACCACTATAATATTAATGTGCACAACGTCTGTATACTTACTCGCCTGGTTATTACTTAAATTACGTTGCGGGGACATTTATCTAATTTGATTTTGTGTCGTTTTTTTTTTTTACTTGGGGGAGGGCGTCCCAGTAAATACACCGCGGCGAGTACTCGTGCAATAAACAAACACTGGATAACTTTCGAGTATTCGGCTCGGCTGGATGTTAATAACCAATATTCGCCAAACTCTATTATTCTCCGGACCCGGACGTCGTCGTTGTAGATAATATAATAAACAGGTCCATACGAGCGATTCGCACAAGTTTTATTAATTCTACTCGAACGCCCATATTCTAAGTAGACGCGTCCGTCGTCGTGTTGCGTAACACTACTCGTAACCCGTGTCAATTGTCGCCTTTTATTGTTTATTATTATTATTTCCCCTCTCTCTCCTCCACCCCCCCCGATGTTTACGAGAGTGAAAATACGATTTTCGACACGTTATCGCCCGTAAATACAATAATATGTTATATGCCTATAGCTAACATGCAGGTACTTCCGTCGTCTACATGTACTGCTACACGTACATCCGCACGCGCAGACATCCGATACATGCATAATAACAATAATAATAATAACGGGTACCTATAATAGTATGTAAATGATTTTTATTTTTTACACGGTCGAGACAGGAAGACAATGAAAATCGACTCCGCGGGTTTTTCAAAACGGTACCTACGTATCTAATATAATTACTCGTGTTTTCTTCGATTATGTATACCTGTTAATTTTTTATTTTCTTCGCTATCTTCGCGTCGTCTTCCGCAGCGCTCGCCGAATGACTGACGGACAATCGGAAAATGCAGCGCATACGGGACTTTTTAATAATAATAATAATATTATTATAATAACCATTACGAATACAGCCGGTGTATATACATACACGTATACGTACCTCGCGGTTACAGTATTTAATAATATTTATTTATATTGTATAATAATAAGATAGTATAGGTAAGTCTATCTACGTCCGTCTATACGGGGTAGGTAAACAAAAGACGAGGTGAAAAAAAAAAAAAAAGATAAAAAAATTTCGGAATACGGTCTTTTGTGCGTCCGTTACCTATCGAGTCTGCGTGTGTGTGTGTGTTGACACGTCGTGAAAGCGTGACAAAAAACGGTTCGGCCACCGTCGGCAACGGTCGGCGGATCGCGACTGCGGCGGCAACGACCTGTCCGTCGTCCGTTGGAGGCGGCGGCGACGAAACCGGAGGACCGCTTGGTTACCACCGTCGACGGCGGTTACGTTACCCGCCGTTCGGTTCAGTAGTGAAGAAACGACCGTGGTCGTAGTTCATAATATCAAACACATTACTATATTATTACCGCGTTTGCGCGCGAGACCGACGGTGTGCGAAACCGTATTCGTTCTTCGCAACGATCGCGCACTCGTATTAATATCTAGGTTCTATCTGAGGGCTTTTTTTTTTTCCGTTTTTTTTTCACCGTACGCGTGTTTGTTTTTTTTTTTTTCTGTTGCGACCCTTCGTCCGTTTTGTGTTCGCCGTCCGATCCCGTCTATTCGGTACGGTATAATAACAATCATATTAGTATCGTCTCCTGTCCAGCTCCGGTCGATGGAGCGCGCCTGAAACACGTACGGGTAAACCGCGGATGCATGGACCGTTTACATCTGGTCGCCGTCTCCGATTTCCGAGGATGTAATAACGTCGATCGTCCATTGGTAAGTCTGCGAGTATATTCGCACACTATTGTATCTACATTTCGGGTACAGATAAAACGGACATCTCCGTATACCCAGTACAAATAATTCGCTGCCCGCTCGACATTGACTTTTTTTCGCCTATACGTGTTCCAGTGTAAAACGGGGCTGGTTGACCTATTTACTAATAATCGCTTCGTCGATATTATCCACCCGCGACCGATCCATACCAATCCCTATAATTCTATGCGTATTTGCGTTTTTCTCCCCATGTATTATAAAAAAAAAAAAAAAAAAAACGGGTCGTCCTGACTTGGTCGCGTGTTCTGTTCGCCGTACTCGCCGTCAAAGGCTCCCACGCGCTGGACAATTCGCTTTCTTGCGATTCCCATAGACACTAATCGGGATTTCTTCGATAATAATGTTCATTGTTTACCGTACCCGCCCGGGTATAGTAATATAATATGTCGCCACGATTTCTGTGTCACGACGACAAACGATAGGTACTTAGATACATAACGTAACGCAATAGCACGCAACCGCCAATTGGTATATAGGTACAAGTATAATATAATTGGAGTCGCCGCCATGTGAAAGTTTCGATCGGCAACTCTATGGTTTAGTCTGTCGTCATCCGTATTTTACATACTAAATTTATTATGTTTAATCGTCTTGTTTGTTATTTGAAACCGTCATCGTCACTTCCCGCTTCTTATTTCTAATTTCGAAAACCAAAAAACTTAAACGGGTGCAAACTAATAAGCCCATACCCGTCGCAGGAACGTTTTACCGTTTTGAATCAAAAGAAGGTGATGTACATAATCCATGTTGTAAGTCACCTTGTTGGTGATTAGTTGATAATATTATATCAATAGAGAACGGATTAGTAATAATTATTATTATCGATTAGCCTTTTTCCTATATTCATTAGACCGCCGTCGGTTTGTCCGAGGTCGACTTGTCACGTGACTGTGTGTGTTTATATTATAGCATAATACTTCACTGTGTACCGATAATGATTCATTTAACGATTAACGATTTTGTTATTGTTTTTGTGTTGTCGGCGTCCCGGAAACTTGGTCCGAGTGACTTGAACGACTGCTGTATTCGCAATATTTATATGATAACCCTAACCGTTCGATACGATTTGACTTGTTTGCATGTACTCGTCTTGTTCGCTAATCTTTTGAATTTATTATACATATAGTGTATAACTTTACGTTTTTACCTAGGTAACCGGCTTAAGGATTTACCGTATTCGTCATAAATTATTATGTATTGTACATAATACATTAAGAATGTTATGTGAACTATTTTTCAATTATGAATTGAATTACCGGTATAGAAGAAAAACCGCGGGCAAATAAGGGAAATAAAGAAGACGCCTTTCATATAACAAGTAATGTGAAGGGACAAAGACTGCAGGGGGTGGGGACACTAGAAATATGTTAGAGTAGCAATCGAATTATGGAAGCTAGAGGGTAGAAAGCCTAGACAAGGGTCGAAAAAAATGGCGAATAGACGGAATACAGCAAGATCCAGAGATGTTGGAAATGACATTGGCAGAGACAGGGCAGGGAAATTGATGGCTAGAGTGGCGGCTAAAACTATTATAGAGTTACGAGGCCATATCAATAGAAAATCGCGGAAAAATAACGGAAATTACGAAGGTGCCCTTCATATTAATAAGTCATGCGAAGGGACAAAGACTGGGATACTAGAAATATGTTCTAGAAGCAATCGAATTATAAAAGCTAGAGAAAGGCCTCGATGAAGCCCGAAAAAATGGTGGATGGATTAAAGCGAAATCCAAAGAAATTGTAATTGACATTGAAAGGGCAGGGACGGTTAAACCTATTACAGAGTTGTGAGGCCATACGATGATAGTAATTACATATTAAGTTCAGAATTTGTTTTCACCAAAATTAAAAGTTAAAAATTGATTCTAAAAGTCACGAATAATAAAAAAAATAAATTTATAAAAAAGTATAGTATACTATAGTATAATACAGATGTACATAATATATAGCGTACAATTTTGTTATATTTTGTACGTCTAAAAGATGTTTCCGGATGGATGGAAACAAATGATTTGTGGTAGACAGCTATAGAGCCAATAACAATACATTACTTATACGTTACAGGAACTGTAACATCAAAAATAGTATACCTACTCTCCAAAACAGTCGATTGAATTTTCGAAAAGAAACAATAATTAAATGTTGATGCGTATTAAGTTTTGCATTGTCATAACCGCCGGATAAGTCTATTCGACTGTCAGACAAAAATCGCGTTATTATTATGTGACGCACTGATATATTCAAAACAAAACATACCTAGCAAAGAACCTACAAAGGAAGCAACACTGAATAGAATTAAACACCGCATGACAATGCACAAGTGAATCTTAAAAGAAATCCGCCTCTCTACTGGAGCATTGCCGCGCAATTTTCTCGCATATACTTAGAAACAATGTAACGATGCCTTATCACGAACACAGTCAACCGTTATACATTATATTGTAATATCATACTGATCATATACCTGAGAGTTTACATCGAGTATCTGAAACATTAACTATTCTAGAACTAACCTGACGTTTAATACCGCAGTATACAATGAATATAACTAAAATGGATTCGTGTTTTAAAGGGCTTTTATTTTTATTTTTCAGAAGTAAATAATTAGAAATGTATATAATTGGTCAAGTGTATTCGAATTAGAGTAGAGGGCAGTTGTACGAAAATGATAATGAAAAATAACGATAAGAATAAATAAGGAGGAAATTAATCGAAAATGAACCCCGATTTGTCATGCAAAACCACGTCAAATGGTTTTATTTTATTTCGCGTGCACTGTGAGCAGTCAGTTAACCCTTCGATCCATACATTTTTTTCTTGGAAAATATTAAAATTTAGCACTCATAGTGTTACGTATATATAAAAAGAAATACCACAATGGCTCAAAGGGTTATTATGCGAAAACGGTTTTTATCAATTTTACAACAAGTACCGTTCACCGTTAAAATTATTGTACCTATAATCAACAACGGATACAAATTTAATGTTTACAATATTCATTTAAGATTTTGAGCGGAGTAAAAAGAGTTGATATTTTTTGAACGATATATGCCCACTCGTATGTGCTTCCTTATATTATTTATTTATTTATAAGATTAGGGCTGGAATTTCTTAGTATAATGTGGTCGGTCAAATATATTGTACATCCTAATATCCTGTTCCGAGGTGAGCTAAATGAGACGAATTCAGTACTTTATCAATATCATTGTTTACTCCTTATTAATAATATTTAAAATATTATAATAATAATTTTATAAAAGATTTGCAGGTAAATTTTATAACCTTGAATCTGGTACCTATACTGCTACTATACTATAGGTATACATAATAGTGTGTCCTTTGTTTCGCGATTTGAATTAAAATCTATGCATTTCCCTATTATGTTATACATGCGCCAGATGAAAGATAATAATACAAATAACAAAATGTATTATTTTAATATGATTCTGTTGTGATTCTGCCAGAAAATAAAACATATGACTACGTACTACAATATTGTTCGTATTTATTATATTGTACAGATTTTTGAAGAGTATAATACATAAACAAGGTTAGCAATACATTAAGACATTGAAAAAGGTACTTCATTGAACTTTTTAGAAATAATTTTTATTTATTTGATAATTTTAGATTGATTTTGTTTGTATTCCAAACAAATATTGACTTATTGTATTTAATAATTATACTGATTGTTAATATTGTCATTGCTCATCACTGGCGAATGCGTAAAACCCTCGTGACATCGTTGAAACGTCATCCTATAATTTCCTAGTAAAGTATTAGTACAGTGCATTATGCGTTTATTTTTCAAACGAGATGTTATTTGGAACAGTGTTAACATCACGTAATACGAATTTCGATGTGGATCGAAATGTTCAAAAATATCTCTGCTGTAATTTCGTCGACATGCTACGTACCTGCAGTGTATCTGATTAATGTTACGTATCTGAGAAAACGTTATATAGACTCGGAATCCTATAAATAATGTTTGATCAATGTAACGGTCTGATAAATAATTACTATAGAATGTACAGATATTCTGTAATTTTTAAATAAACTGTTTAGGAATGAATGTTTATTCGATTATGTTCCAATTCGAATTTCCCTGCTTTTTAGCCAGAAAAATTTAAATCGTGTTGGTACCAAGTTAATACATCAAAAAATTAAAAATAATATTCCTAATAACTAGTTATTTGATTTCAATGGTTGAAAAAAATTATAACACACAATGACGTTATATAAACGCAATATAACATAATTTCAAAATTCAATATTTCCCTCCTTGGCAAAATCTTATAACACGCCACTGGTTGACGATATAATGATACTTATTATATTATTTGTCAATGTATGTACATTACACATAGTATCACTCATCACTATCACTTATGATGTGAGATTTTTATTACAGTCGTTTTTATATGTTAATAATAATGTTTTAAAATAGAGCTCACCGTGGGTTTTTATCTGGTTTTAAATCGAGGCATTAAATTAAGGAGGTAGGCGTGTTTTGTATAAATTGCCCGTTGTTTTGTATTTTAATTTATAATGCATCTATAATTTTCTTTAACTATAATATTTTATATGATTCGAACATATTTGTTGTTGCTGTGATTTTTCATTAAAATCTTGTTTTATATCTCATGATTACGATTAAAAAAATGCGTAGCTACAAGTATATTATATCTAAGGTTTAATTTAGAATATTCGTTTTATATCTACTTTGGTAGTTACAAAGTTTATGCGTGTAGTTTTTTTTTTTTTTTTGTATACGATACAATCAACTAACACTTTATTGAATAAAATATTTTGTTTGCAACGTTGATTTAAGGATATCAATCGTTTAAACTCCTAACTTTATAAAGGCTATAACAATAAAAGTGTTAAACTAGTATTTTATTTGTTACGATATTAAGAACGACACGAAGGACAAATTTGTTGTGGCGTACCGTGAAGGCGCTTACTTTGTTTGTTCTCTTATCGTTAAACCAAATCGGAAAGTCTATTCGGTCAAGGTGGAAATATCACACCCAAGAAATATTTTACTTTTGAAAACGTTTTATTTGTATAAAAAATAAATAAATAATTAACATGCTTTTAAAGAGCATTTCTTATAAATGCTTAAACATTTTTGTGATATTCGATTTCGACGAGCCATTTACCATAATATTATATACAAATTATTTTGTAGATTACATTGTAATAGATAAATACTATAGTGCGATGAATTCGAAAGGAAATCATATTATGTTCAATGAATATTGCAGTGACGAAAAATGAAACAAAGAGTTAGGTTTTTTTTTTTCTAGTTAAAACAATAGATAAAACAAAAAAGTCAACGTATAATTTCATATAATACCTACGCACAATGAATAGGTTTATATGGAATTTCACTCAGTTATAATATTTTTTCATGCATTTTACATGTAATAACTTTTAAACATAATATTATTAATGCTCGGAAAGTAAAAAAAAATCATTGTTAACGAAAAACGATTCTAAGCAGAATATTATTAGTCGTGTATTTTCCGTTGATATAAAGGTAATCTAAAAATAAACAAAGATTAGACAAATATTATCAGTCTTTCCCATTTATTAAAGAAAAATTACGAAGAAAATAATAAAAAAAATGACCTTTAATCACCAACTCGATCGAAAATGCTATATAATAAGAGAGTTCTTCTATAAAGTTTTTGAGCTAGATTTCTAGTAGAAAAGTTGTATACAAAAAAAAAAAAAAAACAATAAGCATTTCTCGCTTCCCTCAAAATCTAAAACGTTTTTGACTTTTTTTTTTTATTATATAAAAGCCGATGATATTATTGTGTGTTCTAAATAAATGGCTCGGTGGTTTAAGTCGATTTTCAACAGCTGCTGATATCTATAGCTACCAATATTATCGGTTTTGTGACTTCGAAATATATGTACAGTAGTGTTTATAATAATAATTGCGGTACTCGATATTATTATATTTTACCATCGGAACGAATACGGCGGCAGCGATGGTTAACTTAACTGTAAAAAGACGATGGGTAGCCGAAATCTTCGCGAACGAACGGCTGAACTAATGATTAGAAAAATTCGAGTGACGGCTGCAGACGGAAGTAGACGTCATTCCGCATGCCGTATCGAAGAAAGAACATCGCTCGCTATATATAGATACCACTTTAAACGATATTGTATAGTATAGCGGGTTAAAAAATAGAATTAAATGGTTTTTTTTCTTATAGAAAATCGTGATGGTATCTGTGTATACACAGATTCGGTGATTCGATTGTTCTACTATTTCGTTACTAAAAAAAAAAAAACAATTTTTATTATTACGCGCCCGAGTGAAAATATTTTTTATTTCAAAATGAAAACGTACCTAATAATTTTTAAATCTCTATTACGGTTATAATGGGTAAATTATTATGTTATATTTGTTTTTTATTTTGTCCGCGGTCGGTCAAATTTTCATAAAACGCGAATATTGTTATGTTTTCCGAGTTAACACAATTGTGTAAAAAAAAAATTAATAAATTGCAATTATAGATTTTAGAATATTTCTAGTGCCGATGTAATGATAATATTAATGTCGAATAATAAGTTAATGATAATTTCTAAATTTCATAAATTAACGTACTCATTATAAGGTACACTGATATTATGAAATATAACGCGTTTCGATGTACAAAATGATTTTACGTACAGGCACAGCACTCGCGTGAATTATTAGAAATGTCACCTTTTTTTTTTTTGGGTACACTAAATACGTAATAAAATTAAAATCCGTTACAAATGGTTTTTGTTTTTTTTTTTCGCATAGAATCGATCATTTTTCTTATGCATAAACGAAAGTCTAAACGATTAATTAGTCTCGGAGTGTTGGACGTATCACGTCCGGTGTAGTGCAGGTAATCGTATTGGAGAAATTTATCGAGTAGATACCCAGTACATTATATATTATTATGTTTTTCACCCTGAGCGATTTTTAAGTGTTTTTTTTTTTTTTTTTTTGATTCGTTATCAACACTGAAGTTATTTCGAACAAGAGTATAATATTGCGTCATTCGAGTACGAAAAGGTTCATTCTATTGATTTTTTGGAGAATCACTGTTTTTGAACAGTTTGATGTATAGAAAAACAAATAACCTATTTTTAACGTTACTATGAAGTTTCTATTTTAGTTTGCTATTGAAATATTAAATACGAAATGGTTTTTAAACCATTTAGTGAAAAAAATTATAATTTTCTTTTATACAAACAAAATAGAATTTTTTTTGAATTCAATTATTATTTGAGAGGTTGTTTTATCTAATGATATTCGCATATTTTGAAAATTAAAAGTTTCTATAATACAGTAAAAATATACTGATACAATAGTATGAAAAAAACTAAAACTACAAAAGGTCTCGGAACAGTAATTTTTTTAAGGGTTCTATTTTCACCGTGCTCACTTTGACACTTTTACTTATCGATACAAAAACGATCGGTTTAATCACTTTAATAGGTGGCCATCAAAATCTATTCGGATTAAAGAGCACTAATTTGTCCGTCGTTCTATCGGATTAATACATTGAACAATACCGGTCGGTATTAAAAATACGAATTTTCAAAAATTAAAATCCATAATAATCGTTATAATTTCATACCGGCCACCCGGAACCGTTTCGTTCTCAGTTGACGAATTTGTACGATTTTCCGCAGGTCTAATGTATTCGCGATTTCGTCATTTGTGTGTTTGTTTTAATTGCGCTTTAACGTATCGTCATCATGTTGACCTTCGCGATATTGAGACATTTTTGGAAAATAATTATTGTTATACTCGCTGTTCGTATTAACGATATGATTCACTCGGTCATCATAATATGACTCGTTGTGTTATTATCATATCCGGACATCGAATTACGTTAAAATGACGTTTATTGTGCGTACCGCATACCTCTACCTAAAAACTTTGAGGTGACCCGATCGAAACCGATCCGGTATAAACGATCGGACGCATGCCGTTCGGTTTGCAACACGATTACAATTACAATTATTATTGTGCGAGATTATACCTGTGCGCGCAACACAGAGAAAACGAATTTACCACGTTGCGGTTTTGCGGACGACTCCTAAGGATTCTCCGCTCGAGTATTAGGCGCTAATGTTTACGAATTAATCTGCCAAAGCCGATAAATAAAATATTGTCATTGCCGTGCAAGGTCATCATAATTGGGTTTAATTCAATTAGTTTCATTGTTGTGCGCATATGCAATTCGTTCGTACTCTGTATAGTCGAATAATATTCTCGAACGCGTGTTTCAGACCTCGAGTAAAAAATAAAAAAATAAAATAAAAATAATAACATTCATGATATTGTTCCGTTGTCGGTTAATTTAAATTTTATTAACTCGCTATAGTGCCTACCCGTTTTTTTATTATAATTATTATTTTTGGTGTCGTTCGTTCTTGAACAGTGTTTTCCCGTATATTCGGGTATAATGATTTTTAGATATTTAATTCTGTAGACATTATGGATTTCGGAGTTTAATTTTTACTATACAAACACGCGAACGTCAATGCGAGTTAAATTACAAAACCTCTAAACATATTTTATATTTCGCGTAAATCTTTGTTTAATACCGACCGCAATATATATTTTCTGGGTTTTTTTTTCTTTTTTTTTGCGTAGGATTTTCTTTTCCATCCTCGAGTTTGTATAATTATAATATTAATTATTATTGCAAGTGACCTCTCGGCGTCACGCTGTTGTATACATTTATTATGTACCTATCGGTAGGTGAATTATAGAAAAACCGAAAAAAAAACATAAAAACAAATAAATAAATATAAAATCCTTTACAAATTGATCAACAATTTCGTATTATATATTTTGTTATGAATATAACAACGCAGTTTAAATTTGTCGACTCCGTAAAGTAATTATACGTAATATTTTAATTTTTTTCGTACAATAGATATACGAGGGTACTGTCTTATATTTTAAAAATTATAACACTTAGAAACCTATAGGTATTATATTTTACAAATTATCAAATCGATTAGAAATCATATCGAAATTTGACGAATATTTAATTAAATATTTAGTCGTTACGTCGAAACGTTGTATGTTGTAACGCTGTAAAACTCTGTAATTTATACACGTTCTAAATTTATAATCCTTAAGATTTTTGTTTTTGTTTTTAATTGATTAATAATATCTGAAGTATGGTATTTAAGTTCCGCGCTTCTGTTACGCTGTGCACGTACAGGAAAAATAAAATAAAAAGCACTATTCGCTTCCCTAGCAATTGTTATTGTACTCGGCCTAACCAATTTTTAAACATAAATCGGTAATAAGTAATTTTCGAATTTTTTTTTTAAAAAAAACACTAATAATATTATTGCGGTGAATTTTTCACCTAGGTTATTTTTAACATTCATAATTATTTTAGATTATACTATGATGATTACTACTATAATTATTCTACTATAAATCTTGTTCCGATCATTAACTTTAGGTGCGATGTAGACAATTTTAGAAGGCCATTAATAACACGGAATGTAAAATTCTGGAACGTTACACTCCGGAACGTAATATTCTTGTGTGTAATTTTCCGGAACGTAATATTCCGGAATTTTACATTAAGTTAAAACCAATGTTTCCTAAATCTTCTTAGGATTTCTCATCGTTCTGAAAACGGTCATCGCCAATATGTTCACCGATACGTTCCAAATATACGGCTGTTTATATTATTCCGCTGGCTTTTTATCTTCGCTCGAGCCTTCTAGATCCAAAAGTTGTTACACCCACCCCGATTATTTTGCCCATTTAAAAAATCCCTATTGAAGAAATACATAATAAAAAGTATATTATCATAGGTATGACTATTACCTACTGTTATTTTATTTTATAAACCATTGATCATTTTGAATATTAAGTAACTTTTTGAATTTTCGCGGTCCGGATATTCCTTTCTGAATTATTTAGTACTGGGAAATTACAGTCCAGATTTTTCAGTTCGAGATTTTACGTTCTGGATTATTTCGTTCCAGAAAATTATATTATTGAATATTGCGTTCAAGATTTATTAAAACCCTCTGAAAATGTTTTCTATTTGATGCAATGAGTACGAGATCAATTTTTGATTTTCCTTGTAGTAAGAATACATGATAGCGAAAACCCGAGATTAAATTTTATATTAGATTTTCTTTTTTCTTTTTTTTTTGTAACTCTGTGAAAAATAATCTTAAAGACCGTAAATTTCACCAAATCCATATACATATCACAAATTGAAATTAATGGTAAAAAATAAAAAGTGGGAGCGTAGTAATTGCTTTTTACAAGCCTGTAAAGTTTAAATTTTAATGAAAATGCATTTTGATAAAAATGTAAAAATACATATAGTCATTTTGGTCCATTTAAAACAAATACAAGAGGTACCTACTGTATAATTTCTGAAAAATTAGTTAAGGTGTTCTGTCCTTCTGTCCCTCTCCCCCTCTCCCTCCTAAGTCGAGCACCGCAATGACGTTATAATATATACTGACGAAACGTTTTTACGTAGGAGTGTAGGACTTGCTGAACTGGTATTGTAATAATTAAATATTACAGTCACCTTAGGTGATTCACCTATATAGACCCAAATGTCATTATTGATAATAGTGAAATAATTAATGGTAAAATAATTGTAACAATCGATTCAGTTTGTAACGTTAGGTAGACAATAGGCATATGTGCGATTGGTGTTATTTTATAAGTGAATATCCAATGCGCGTTCACTGGTCTTTCTTAAAAAGAAAAAAAAAGTTCACGAGCCGATATGCATATCCCCAACCACACAATGAGAGTATTTTGCCGCACTAAATAAAACTATTTTATCACAAAATCGTCTATAGTTCAATCATTTATCGTTAATTTCCCAGTGATTGACACACGGTAAGCATAATATTTTATTCCACTTGGTGTCCAATGATGGACTTTACGGCGCAGTGTCCGGTTTGATAAAGAAAATCTTCGTGAAAAATGCCCCGATATGCGAATATTGTCCAACGTAGAAATACTCATATGTATAAGTTCATTAATTTTTAATTTTTTTTTTTTAATATGAATGCTCATAAAATTTCTATCGACCTACGTCGATTTTTTAACGCTTCAGCCTATACTTAATAAAAATAAAAAACCCAATGTGTTCCGCACGTAACGTTTATTGCTTATGAGTATTACCTTACATTTTATATTATTATTATTGTTTCACTTTCTCTTTGACGCATAAACTCGCACGTTTTGCGGAATTAATTTTTATCATTTTTATATGTTATTAATATAAAACACTACTAGGTACTTTTGGACAATAATCTCATATATATCTATATAGGTATTACTGTACGAATTTGACGTGTTTAAAAAAAAAATAATAATAATAATAATTTCGATTTCCCCTAGCATTATAGTGTTCTTATAACATCGTACAGGTATACTATTATTACGGTCCGACTAAAACCGCGCGAGCAGATATTATTATATTGTACGTTACAAAATATTATAATATCGATACGATATTGTCATAACGGTCCCGTGTATTATATTATAATCCGTGTCGGAACGTACGAGCACGGGTAACCTTAATGGCTGTCAACTGTTTTCTCGCTCGTTTTCCACGTTGTCAACGTGGGTAATAATATTGCCTCACGTTTCCACAGGTAGGTGCGCCGCGCCGTGTGTCGGTCACACGGACGCATTTTTTTGGCTTAAAACGATTAAAAACGCCGCGGTAATGAGTATATAGGTAGCTAATGTGGCGTACATTATATTGAAAATAGTAAAAAAAAAAAAAACGATCATTAAAATTCCTTAGTCACGGACGTTTTTATAAAATATTGTACGGAAACCCGTCAACCCGCGCTATCCGCTATGGTCAAAATTCGAATTTTCGACCGCACTACATGAACATGTACATTATGATATTTTAGTCCTTGAGCATAGCTAGGTAATATTTATAATAATATTTGGGGGGGAGGAGAAAAAAATCTTCGTGCGCAGGACCGAACTCAACGGTTCATTAAAAAATATATATTTCTATAGGCTAAGTATAAGTGTAGGTGTACTTGTTATAATATTCGCGTAAAATATCGCCGGGCTGAAACTCGCGTACCCAGTTCAAGAGGTAACATTAACGTAAAATTTCGCTTTATTTCTGCGTATCTCGCAATACAACAACAACAGAAGCATTTCGCATTTCCGCGTCCGCGACTATCCGGTTTAGTTTTTGGGCAACATAGGACCTGTTATGCGTTTTACAGAAGAAGAGCATTTACCGCGGATCCTGCGAACACATTTTAACGGTGAAATTCCGGAGAAAATTAAAACTGTGTTGAATCAAACGAGCGCGAAAAACATTTTGTAAAATTGTTGTCGTGTACAAATTATTATAATATAGATAACACTGTTACTATTTCTCGAACGAAACGCATTAAGTACACACCATTAATATTAAAATATTTTTTTCTATTTCACTAAATACCTACCGAGTATATTTTTTTACGGGCTATTTCGATTATTCGCCAATTATCGGGTGTAATAGTATTAGAATATTTTTAACAACACGTGTGTATATACACAAATAGTTTTCTAATGTACACTTTTATTTTTATAGGCATACATTACATACATTTTTCGTATTTTGATATTCGATAGAGTTTTGAAATTATCCGTTTATACAGCTAAATAATATTGTAGAGGTATTTTTTGTTACCAACGAAAATACGTATTTTCAACTTTTACTATTATGGGGAAGGGGAGATCCGTAGTTTATACTTGCAGTTACTACCTGGATATTTTTCGGAAGGGTTTCAATATTGAATTTGTTTGTACATTTTTATCGTCTAGTTGCCTATTTACAACTAACACTATATAATCTATCAATAATCAGTTATTACTTGCGATCACGTCTCTATTATAGAGGTATACAGGTTGCCTTTATTGCACTTAATAATTAGCTTCCGCTTGGAAACCTAATAGCACAACGACGATACTAATATACGTATGATTTTTATACTTATTACCAATTATGCTGCAGGACCCTGGAACATTTATCTGATTTTTTGGGAGAGGGGTCCCAGTATCCCTGTAAATATTCCACTGTTTATTGATAATAATGTGTGTATATATATAGGTAAAAACAAAATGTTTTTCGTGATTTCGATCTGTTTTAGAGAAGTAACGCAACAAATTAAATTGAAATAGTTAAACAACATTATTTAAATACTCATGTTCGGTAGTTTTTGATCGGATTTTCATCTGTTTACGTTTAAATAAACGATAAAAGTTATAATAGTTATTATTGGCTCAAAACGATGTTTTTAAACCTTCAAATCATTTGATATTTTCCAATATATATTATTCCAACATCAATACTAACGAAGTGTAAACTATACAAAAATCATGATTAATCGTAACGTAAATTTAAATATTATTATTGAACTTTAAAAAGTTAGACGATCCATTTGAACGTACCGTTTAGAGTATGTAAAAACTCGAGTCCAGATTTTTTGAGTTTTGAATATTGTTGTGTTTGTATAGGTAGGTGCATATTATGTAGTTAATACATCTTATAACTACATTTGCTGTCTATATCTATAAAATATAAATATTTTTTTAACGAGCTTGAACAGTTTTGCGGGCAAAGTGAAAGTTTGACCATTATTTTATTTCGAGGACTTTGTATTTTTCAATACCTGTGCCTAGTAGGCACCTACCATGTATTATACGCGAACGCTTCGTATTCTGAGGAACGGTTTTTGTTCTCAATGTTAATGAGCTATATTATTATGTAGTACGCATATTTTATTACTACAAATGTGGCGGTATATCAGTATATTATGTATAATCAATGGACAAAACGGAAGTAATATTTAACACTATAAAACTTGATATTCAAGTCAAGAAGTGTGTATATTATATTCTGTGCAGTATATCTGTAGTATTATAATTTTGTTCAACCAATTGCAGGTTATGGGAAGCCGGTAGGTTTTAAATAATTAATAAGTGTATACGTTTAGACGATAATATTTTAATATAATATATGCTTTTACGTGTGTTATTTCACAATGGTTTTAAAAGTGGTGTGTCTTATCAGTGGAATCTTTAGATTGATATATTCTTAATAATAAAATGTTTAATGGATTTTAGTAGAAAATCACTTTTTACTAATATTCAAATAGGTATCAAGATATATAAAAAATATAAATTCTAGGTGGTTTCTAATTTTATAAAAACGAATCGTAATAATGGAAAATCTAACCAGTTTTAGTTTTTATTATAAGATTTTTTTGGGGGGAGGGGAGGGGGAACCTATTGAACTGGTAAATTTAAATATATACATATGTATTATGTCAATATAGTAATTGCATGGACATTTTAAGCACATTTTTTACTGTTTTGATAAATACCGATTGATTAAAAAAACTAAACTAATATAGTTCTCTTACTCGGCTAAAGTAGTTTAAATTGATTGTAAATTAATCGTATTTATCGTTTAACCACACGATAGGAAGTAATTTTTCTTTTTTACCTATTTTTTCTTTGTAGGTGCGGTATTTTCATGAAAAGCAAATTGGGTTTCAGTGATTGTTTTTTCAGTTTCATGATACAGATACGATGACAAATCGTTGAAGTATAAAAGTGTTAAGTAGTAACCGAATTAACTTATTAAACTCATTATGGGTTTTTTTTATTGTTTTAATCATTGATAAATCGAGGTATATTCTATGGCACTATCATTGTTTAAATATTGATACGGATTTGTGTGTGTAGGGTTGGAAAATGATACCATAACTATCGTATTATAATCAATTTTTTTGTTGTCTTTCATTACTTTATAGGTCACCGCATCGAACTGTGACGCGAGCCTGTTATTTTTTTATCATACTATATGTATAATGTTACGCCTCCTTGAAATAATATATCGCCTGTAAAATATTATATTTTAAACCTCTACCAAACCCGTTTTTGTTTGGCAGGTATGTGTATATCACGAATATTCGATATTTTGTTTCACCCTTTATATCAGACAACGTATACAATGCATTGCCACCGCAGCATTCGTTGCTTTTGTCCTTTTAAAATATTATTATATGTTTTTTTTTTTTTTTTTACTTTGTTCGGGTAGATGATGGTAAATGATAGTATATAGTCGATAGGTATACCTATAGGTAATGCGTTATTATTTTAAGGAACCCTATATTATTTTCTCGCTGGAATTCACGAAACCTTCAGCGCATTATACGGTCCTACAACGGGAAGACGGGTATTTCGATAGCAGTGGCGCCAAAACATAGCCTAGCCTAATCTAATCTGACCTACCTGTTTTAAGTGTCATTTTTTAATGAATTTTTTTTTTAGTGATAAATGTATAATACAAAATTCGTTAATATCCGCTATAGACCAAAAATTATACAATTTTCTATTTTCAATTAAACTCATATTGAATATAAAAACGGCGGAAACGTCGAGTTTGGTTATTAAAACTAAGTCAGTGAATTTGTCATTTATATCAACGATCTTTCATCGATATCGGCACGATTATGTTACGGTTTATAATCAAAACGTGACGGCAATAAGATCCTAACTCAGTTTGTCACGTATATACGAGAAGGTTATTCGTTGTTATTTTAAAAAAGAAAATATACTACTCGTATAGTTCGTGTAGCTCATTCGTATTATAGTTTATTATTGATATTTTGATCGCACTCACGTGCCTATCTGTGGACTACAGTTCTGTTACATTTACAACAAAAAAAAAAAAAAAATTATTTTGCATAGCTCTAGGAACAGACAGTATTTTATGTCAACCAACCTTGCGCAAGCATAATATCATATATTGAGAAATAGGCGCCGATAAATGACAGATGTTGAATAATAGTCTTATCCGGCTAAACAATAGTACGCTATTGTGCAGGGACACCTTTTATAAAATATACATGTATTTACGCGTTTTACGATTTTTATATAATGCGTTACTTACATATTATAGTATACATAATCTTTTTTTTTTTTTTTTTAAATATTCTCTATACCTATTCTATATTAAAATTATAATAACGTTAAAACTTAGGCAGTATATATTATATAATGTTTTTTTATTCCCGTGACACGTGATGCAATACATTATCATACCATTTTTTTTTTTTTAGAGACAATGCGATTAATAATTCGAATCGATGTAGGTAACAGAAAATACAAAAATTATGTGTATTCATTTAACAATTTTATATTTATTTCGGTCAACTCACAATGTATACATGTATACAAGGAAGAATAGCTTGATTTATTGAATACAAATTGATTTTTTCGGATCCGGTATTGAAATTCTCAATGTCAGGTTAGGTATATAACAGATGAAGATTTTACGATTTATTCGTGAATCATGATTATTATTTACTACATCCACCCTTCCGTTGAAAATGTCTAGGCACTCAACTGTCTAGCAGAGTGTGTTAACCCAGTGTTTTATTTTACACTTGTAAAAAGTGTTGGATACTTATATATGCATATATACATTATTATTATCTTTGTGTTTATTTAGTTTGTGATGTGTTTTTTTTTTTCGGAGGAGGGGAGAGATGGGGAAATTTAACGATTTATCAAGGTTGAATATAATATACCGACTATATAGGTATCTAAAACGAGTTTCTACGCTCCATTGGAATACACGAAATTTCGATTAGTTATTTGTGATTATTAGTTTTCAGTTTGAATGACCGTTAAACGCGTGCAAGGATCGAAGTGTAATTTTTTTTTATACGTGAATATAAAATATAAAATATAAGTACATAAAAGACATCTATAGTGCAATAGGCTCTATTTTCAGGAAAAATCCGTCAAAAACATTTGGTATTTTATATTATATAATATCACAAAGGTATTGGTATAATATGTAACATGTTATGTTTTGTTTTGTTTTTTTTTTAAATACATTTTTTGTTTTGTTATATCAATTTAAATTTTGAATGTAGCGAAAAAGACATTAGATATGTTTTTTTGTTAGTACGTCAATCGAATATTGTTTTTAGTTCCCGACAGTTTTTCTAAAAAATTAGAAAACTTAACAAAAATAACGATACGTCGGTTTTCGTTTTTGTTGATTTCTCGTTTACGTTGGCAAAAAGGGGTAATACACGAATTTCAATCTATAATTTCCCCACTTGCTGGTTTACCGAGTTGAGCTCATAACCGTTTTTCGATTGCAATATTATTAATCGTTGCTTTCAGTGTACAAACCGAATTACCCGGCATCTTATTTACCGATACTTTCCGAAGTTCCCATCTACAACAGTATAGCCCATCCACGGCGCTATGCATGTCCGGTTTCTTTAAAGTTATTTTCTAAAAATATAATATAGTTTATACAATTTATGTAAATGTATATAATAGCTATGTTATAATTAACGAGAAAACAATTAATTGTATTAAGTATATACTATTAAAAAAAACGCAGCAACATAAACGTAAGTATAAACTGCAACCTATTATTATGTTAAATGTCTAATAACTATTAAAACAATCAATAAAGAATTTAGAAAGAAAAATTTCCTCGACTGCAGTAGTATTGTGAAATATTTTTGTACAATATATCGTCAACGCAGTACAATATATTTTTTATTTTATTTTTGGATTTGGCCTACATCGGAATATATTTCAATAGTATTTGTGGCGTTTCATTCGATCGATATCCTTTTAATATTATACCGAGTCTATTATTATATGAGTATTTTTGTATAGTCAACCTATTTATTTTTATTTTTTCGTCACTGTTTAATTGTTTAATGTTCGGTAGGCACTCATGATATGATGCATATGTTATACCTATGGTTATTATGTTTAGTATCTATATAAATACGTACAATTTAAAACCTACATTGTGGACAGTGATTTTCATTTTTGTTTTTTAAAAAACTAACTCGTTTTTGACCATTTACCGGGCGTCTGGTACACTGCATTTTTATCGGTCGTTAACAGTATTGTCTACGTAATTTTCATACTCGTGAAGCTATAAGTACGTAAGAAAAGTGTATTTATATGTTTTAATTATTTATAATTACGTATATAAAATACCTATACGACGACCCGCCAATTAGGTCATTTCTATTAATTATTGTCAACATGTAGTTCCCATACTTTTTAATTTCCATATTCGATGTATTATACATTTTTAAACATTTTTTTTTTTTTTTTTACAAAAATATAATAAATATGTAAATATTATAATGATAAAATATATTTTATTGTTGTTGTAACAATATATTTTACTCGATGAAAATTATCATAAATTGTGTGTACCTGCGTATGTTTTTTTTTTTCTAACTGTTTTTTATTCACTGTACACAGCTTGTCGTGTATTTTCTGAGATACAATCGACGAAACAAACATGTTGCGTGTTATATCTCAAATTATTTAAAAATCGTAATAAATAAAAAATAAAAAAAACATTATACAGATGTAATATTAATATTATTATTATGCGCGTTTTATACGACCGCATTTTACGGGGTTAAACAAAACATAATATTTTGACATTGCTAATAAACATTTCGATAATGGTATTTTCGTGGACAACCAAAACGTACAATACAATATTATAATAATAATGCATATTGTTATCTTCTTCATCAAACAGCTTTATTAGAAGTCATTGAGACTCATTGCCGCCATAAAAATTTAATTACATTTCTCTCTTTTACGAGCTACGCTCCGCTAAAACTGTCCGTCTCGAATTTCATTGTTTTCGTTTCATCGTGCTTTTATCAATCCATCTGTGTTTTGGTTTTCCTTATCGGAGAACAATCGGGTTTCAGTATAGAACACATAAGTGTGCTGCGTATCATCGGTTCTTTTTTAGGTCTATATTATAGATTCCTCCTCAAGACATCTTTTTGCTGATGATGGGCTGTGGGTCATAGCTACGTAATAATGATGTGTACCTAATAATATAAAAAATTAAAAATACGGCTAAATCGGTTTTTTTTTTGTTTTGTATTAAGGGTACACGGTTTCAACTTATTGGACTGCGGGGTTTGCAAATTCGGAGGCATTTCTAGTTGTAGAAAACAAATCGTTCAGATATAAAACGACCGAACGGGGTTACAATATATTCACGTGCCCGAGTCTCCTTCTTACTCAGCTTATCGGTCCACCGAGGAGAATACTGTTGCCATCACGAAGCCTCTGCATCTCTTTCTGTTGTTCGCTAACATTCAAAAGTCGCGTTCTTTTCTATGTCTTCTAACTATATATTTCGAGCAATAACATCCATTCAGCGGGTCCTTAGTCTTCCTATTGCAGGTCATTGTATGGATATATTATTTGTCAATACCTTTTTTTATCAATTTGCCATTTGTTTTCCAAACATGTCCGAACCGTTTTAAACGTTTTTTTTTTTTTTGTTTATTAAAGATAGAATATTTCGCCTAAAATATAGTTTCTAGTATAATTATTTTTATAAATAATCGATCGCGTATTTTGCGATATATATTTCGGAGAAATTTCCACACGATACATACACACACACACACACTTACACACATCGACCGACATTCGTGTATTATAATAAGTGTGCAGTGCGTCGGATGACGGATGCTGTATTTAACACGTGCCCGAAAACTCAGTTGTCGGCGTCTGCGTCATCGCTAGGGGGGGTGGCGGCATTCGTTTATTTCTTTTCGCCAATGTACCTGTAGTTCCTTTACGTACATGTAGGTATTATAATTTTGTATTATACATCACGACAAAAGACGCGAAACGAGAATGTCTGCGCCGATGCCGAGTATAATAATGTTATATAGAAACCGCATGCGAACACTGCTGAATCGAACGGCCACGCGCGAATAGTATGGCCCGACGACGTTGCAGCGTATTATTATTTGTTATTTATTATTGTATCGTGAGGTTTCTAGAAGATGAAAGTGGGTCAGCCGGCAGGTTTATACACCCGGAATAATTCTATGCAGGCTGCCGAATAGGTAGATTCTACATTTTAGTATTCATTGTGCTTTTAATACTCGCAAGACGTTAATTATATTATTTGGATTACCGTAATCCAGATATTGTAATGTTTAATCGCTGTGCCGTACTGAATCCGGATTTGAATAAAACAATTTTCGTCTATTTTTTAGATGTCGTCAAAAACTAAAGTTTTTTTAAACGGACGCTCGTTTAAGGGGGTAGGGACTGGCGGCAGCATAAAATAAATTTCAAGGGGTCGGCGTCTAGAATTGTTTGCATACATGTACTATAATGAGTACAATATTAGGTTTCTTACGTTCGAATAAACACACTGAACCCCCACCCTGGTTACTGGTTACCGGCCACCGGTTACTGGGTGGTACCGTCACGATACCACCGCCCCGTCAAATTCGCCACTGAGACGACCGTATCGTAATGTATAAATTCGATAGGTGTATTATTATTACAGAGAGTGTATAGGCACGCTAAAGCAGGTATCGAATCATACCGTGGTTTAAATAATTTCTCGTAAAATCGGCATCGCGCGAAACCTTCGGCCGCACGGTGTAAAAAGAAAAATCGTTTGAGATACGATAATATACGGTCGACGGTAGCGAGATACCGCTGGATACCACTACGTGACGTCATTGCGCAAATTGTTATCTAACGAAAACGTTTTTAACAGATAACGCACCGCGCGGTCGAATTGTTTACGGTTTAGTTTCGCCATAATACACTTACGCTACACACGCCCACACCTCTGCGTATTTTTACCAGAACCCGTTACCCAGCAGCAGCAGTAGCCGTTAGTAGTATTATAGCAGTGACGTGAAAAATCTTACACGGATTTCGTTTGTTTCGGAGGAAAAAAGTTGTTGCCCTTGACGGGTTTTTTTCTCACCGACAGCATTATGGTCCTCGAGCAGAATGCGATCGTTACCGGCGTTCGCGTGCACCGTAATTCAAGGTTGTTCTCATAGTGTTACCTATTAAAAATGTTTACCCGTACATTGAAATACGCGCGAGCGAGTGTGTGTATTTTTTTTTTTTTACACATTCTCGATGCATACAACAACGAAGTAAAAACCGTATAGACAATAATATAATAATATTATGTAGTTTCGAACGAAGACGAAAGTGACTTGTCTATCTTATTTTCACGGCGAAGATCTATACGAGAATTACGACAAAGACCATGATGACTTGGGGTATACCTATATGTCTCGAGATGTCCCGGGATACGGCATCGTGGTCACTGCGGTTATAATATGTAGGCGGATGGGTCGATACCACTTTTTACACCGATATCCGATATTTGAAATCGAAAACCACGAGTCAATATCGAAATTCACAGATATGTTAGTTAAAATACTTATTTTTTTTTTTAATATCCGAGAGACGTTATGGACATTTTTCTCAGAAAATATCGAATCAAATATCGGTTTCGAAAAAAAAAAATAACCAGACACCGCCGATATCGAGTATCGGTTTACGTATCGGCACACCCCCTGATAATACGATGCACTGTATATCAACTCTATAAACAATATATGATACGCGTTTGGACGCGAAAGTTTTGAAATCCATTGTTAATCGCGTGCGGTATAATATAATATAATGTGCGCGTCCAATCGAAGTCCTCTTAGCAACCATTATGTTATGGTCGCCGTGACGTAGGTGGTGTCTGAGTATCGGTATAGGTATGCATCGCGAGCACGAAAGTTAGAAATTCTTAGATAGGTATAGTAATTTCCACAAACGTATCATGTTATTATAATATGTTTACTTATACCGCTGCGAATGATGCAATATTTTCACGAACACGTCATCGGTGGGCTAAGTGCAGTCTAAATAACCGCGAATTCGTTTTTCAGATATTGTACTGGAATGAACGTATATTATTGTAGTCCAACTCTGTGCGTTTTCCAATATTATTCTATTCCTTGTAGATTTTCAAACACCACACGCGCTCCTCTTCTATTTACACGCCAATATGATAATATAAAGTTCAATAAATTATGCAAATATTTAATAATTTCTAACTAATTTATGATTTAAAAAAAAAAAAACGTACATTTATGAACACGATTGGAGTAAGATGTTGGAAAATGATTGGACATGCCTCGAGACACCAACTTCTTAGAAGGTATGGTAGAAGGAAAAATAACTGCAAGAGGTCTTCGAAACTCTTATATAGGACGAGTTAAAAATAGCGCAGTCTTTGAAGAACTTAAAGAAAAAGCGAGTTATAGACTAGAATAGAGGATTGGAATTGTAAACCCACGGATTGGAAAAAAATAAATTGTTATAAATTATAATGTGTGGCGGTTTGTATAAGTTCTTTGATATTTGCTCATATTATATAGAAACGGTTTTTATGAGACACACGATAAGTCAAATTTTAACAATTTTCGGTTTAATATGAGAAATGTGTCAAATTGATATTCAATTGTTATCAACGCGATACGTCATAATATGAATATTCGAATGGCAAATTGTGAGAAAAGTGATAATTGATATCCATATCTTCGTGCACAAGGCGATATGTGCTATTTATAAGATATCCATTACCCATATACCTAAATAATTTGTTCCGCGCTATAAATGATAAGTCGACAAAAATCTACTTAAAATTAATTTAGTATAAAACGTTTTTATCGTCTATTGAAAAGTTTCAATTTTTGACAATACGCACGTCTCACAAAAACCGTCCATTCTTTATAATAAATAATTTGGGTTTTTTTTTTAATTTCCTCAAACGCCTCTCTCAAAAAATTCTAGAACACTGAATCCAATACAAATTATTTACCCATTTCGATACAATGCAATATAGAATATTATTATACAATACGTTAATTACCTCTATTAGACGTTATTGATGATAATATATTATTCATTGTGGTGACGAGACCCGTTAAACGTACGTATAGGTAGTTAATAAGGATCGCATATCAGTTCAGCCTAATATTCTTTGTGGAATCTTTTTGTATTTGTACAACCGATTCATTTTGTAATCGCGCGCGTGTCGTTCATTATACTCAGCTGCAGGTATTGCGATCGACGGTGTCGATAACTGCAAGGACTTACACAATTTCTGTTTCTGTTTTCTTTTTATACCCAAGATATAATATATGTGTTTGGAAACGCGTACGGTTTTAACATATTTTTTATACGCATATACTCCATGATCGATATGTTATACACACGTTTGTTATCAATGGTGAAACGAATCTAAAATAACTAATAAGCAACCTACGTCTAGATTGATAAGTTGAAACCTATACATCTATCTACTTGGTGGCTACCCGGTATATCCACTCATCGATAATTCCTAATATTGTTTATTATATATTCCAAAATTTTCTCTTTTGTTTATTTATTTACTGAATTCGTAGTAAACGAGTAATAACATTTAGTTATTTTCGAAAACTCACTCATCACTAAGTCTTCTAGAAAAAAAAAAAAATCGAAAAGCAACCGTTTATCATATCATACTAGATTGTATTTATGGTCTTACTGATACACAAACAACAAGACCCAGGACTCTTAAAACACGTACTTAAAACATTTTTTGTTTTACGCATGTTAACATCTTCGTACGTTTTTAACATATTATATTATAATTACCTATTGTAAACTTAACAGAGCGTTATTTTTATTGTTCCGTTTACCTAATTTATCTATAACAACTGTGGCTGTGCAATAACATAATGTTCCAGCCTGATAATATTAATTTAGACGATCTAGTTGCCAAATGTTCTATGGACATTATACCTGCAATTAAACGGAAATATGTTCAGTATAAATAAGTAGTTTTATTGATCCGAGTGCATAATAATATAATAAACTATAAATAAGTATCCGTGATAAATTCGTACAAATTTTAAACGGTTAACCGAATTATACTAATATATGATACGCGTTTGATGAAAATAATTATCGAACTATACATTTTAATCCGGCCAATATATTTTTCGACAATGCATAACCAACGTATTTTTTATCCCGTTTTGTCCTAGAAAAAAAAAAAACGAGTACGTATTTTGGTATTTGAAAAATATTATATACAGGCGTACAAACAATAAATGACAATAATTATACTATAATAATATCGCAATAATAAGTGACGTATTATTGCTATTTAATTTGTATATTTCGCTGATTTTTAAAATTATAATTTTTTCAATAACATGCAAAGAGAACATGTTCAACACATTTGCAAATATAACAAATCGATCGTGAAAATAAGTTTAAAGCATTAAATGGTATACATATATTATTTTTTAAACCTCTAATTTTGTTACATGTTACTTTGCGTTCGGTAGGAACAACTTTTTACTACTAGTTTTTAATATTAGAGTGGATTGACCACAGAACGTAAAGATAAGAACATTATCTGTGCAACCAAGTCGGTATTTTTTCTCTCGGTAATTTAATATTCAAGCGCGTTATGAGAACCTGTGTGAAATATCACAAAAAAAAAAAAAATGATCATATCTCGCTTAAAAAAACCCCCACGTATTTGCTCAGATAATGTTCTTTTGATGTGTACAATTGCTATGTGCCGTACGTTTGTAAGACACATGCGAGTATCACGTCCTTTTAAAAGTCGGAATTTGTATAGGTACCTAAACCGTTTGAACGCATGAAAAAAAAAAAAAAAAATTATGGTCTTGGCGGAGTTACAACAATAATATCAAACTATTATACTATTATGAATAACGTCGTCGTTTTCTACCGCTGAAGCGAGTTGATCTTAAGAATACTAATGTCCCCCCGATGTGCAACAGGTACATTATACATTATACACAGGTATAAAATATCGAGTGATACTCGGAAAACGTATACACCTAAACCATTATCATGTATTATGTAATCTAATTCAGTACTGCCGAATCGTATATAAAAAAAACTACATCAATATTTTTATTTGTCATACGTAATAAAAAAAAAAAAATAAATAAATAAAAATAAAAATAGTAATAACAGAAAATACTGTTTGCGTAGTACAAACCCTATAACTAATAATCAAACAAAAGTATAGTTTTATGTTTGATTTTCAGTGTTTATTTATGTATGACTCGGAGAAAATATTATGTTCTTGTAAACATAATATTGTCATCAGTGGCCATCCCGTAAGGTGTACTGAATACTATTTACACTCAATATTTTGTTGAAAAATCACAAGTACACTGAGTTTAATCTCAAACAGTTAAAAAAAAAAAAATTCGTCGTAATATAATACAATGCAACTAAAATTATACGTATAGCGGTGAATGTTTACACTACGTTTACGTTTGGTAATTGTTGTCATTAAAACCGTATTTGTCACATAAATGTATCTATTTCAGTAGTTAATGTGTCGTAAAAAATTCACAATTTACTTACGAATTATACCTTTATTTTTTTTTTTTTAATTGTTGTGTTATTGATATTTATTTCCTTACCTATAGAGTGTTTAAAGCATAAACCGTAAAAAAGATTTAAAATACCACATATAAGACACGCGTGATATTATATAGTATACTCTCAAACAAATTGATGGGAACACCGGTGAATTTATCGTTTCAATTCACACGCGTATATGCATTTTCATAATACATATCGAACTGCGGTACAATGGTATACCTTTCATTTATATTGAAACGTCCATTGGATGTGCAGTCCATACAATGCAATATATTACATGTTTATTATTAAATGAAAATAAAAGTCGCATACCTACCGCGATCGTGGCCGTTCACCTCGAATTTCATTGATTTATTTCATATTCGTGAGCGTTGATGCCTACCTACCTACCTACCTATCTAGGTATACCTTCGACGAATACCTATTTGCGTAGTCCAGTCGTTAACAATTATTATTTTTTTTCTCTTTACGCTCTAGAAATCAACCAATTCTTCGTTACACAGTTCTATATCACTGTATTGAATCCCCTACCCATTTTCGGCTCGAATGTTTCGTTATAGTTTACTGTCGAACGGCGGTGGCGGTAGCGGTATAGCTGGTGCCTATAACTATGACGAATCAACGAGGTTATAGACTTTACGGACGAACTCATTAACTTCGTGTTTTATTAGTACTGAAATACAATTATAATTTTTTTTTTTTTTTTTTTTGATATAAATATATATACATTTTAGACGATATCTGCGTTGAATATCATTTTTGTTATGATAATATCGTTACAATACTCGTTTAAGACACGATTTTTAAGGTCAGTAGGTTATTACAATAGTCTACGATGACTGTGGAATCGTAGTAAATAGTACGATATGCATATTTTTTTTTTTTTTAAATATAATATTGTTTTCGGAATAGATATAAAAAAAATGTATAATTTTCATAGGAATAATATTACGTTACATCGATGCATCCAAATTAAATAATTCGACTTTCAGAGTTCATATCAATATTTGAGTAATATAATTGATATTTAAATAGGTTTTAATAATATTATAACGCACATTGACAATTTCGTACACATTATATATATTTTTATCGATTATTATCACAGTTAAACTGTGTGTGGTGTTTTATAATTCATTTGAATCGTTCGTTGACATTCTGTGATGTTATTATGATCAGTTACAAATTGACAAAAATTAAACAAAAGCGGGCGTGTGTTAGTTTCCGGCAATGTGTTACATGTTTTGAATTGCGGACGTCTGGCTAATGCATAAACCAGGGTCAATCGGGTATAGCATTGAAACAGTTTCTCATTATAAATTTAGGACTGTTTTATTTCCGATATGTATATAATATTTTAACGTGTAATTATTTTTGTCGAAATACATTTTTATCTCGAGGACTTTTTTTTGTTACATATTACAATGGGAATTATGATAATATATTATATCCGTTAGGTTTATTGTGACAGTTGTTATATTTCAGTTAATGTAAAAAAATTTCACGTGCTGCTGTTTTAGGATACGTCCTATTCAATATTAAAATCGACAACTAAATATATCAATATAATAATACCATATATTAGTATTTATACTGAAAGTCCATTTAGCCATTATCATATAATTTATTATTTCAATTTGTGCCTAGTAAAATTGCTTTTTGTTAAATATATTTATTTTATTGTAATCAATGTATCAATAAAAAAATATTATTCTAATAGTATACAATTTTTCAATTTTCAGGTACAGAAATGTCTGCGATTGACAAACGTGGTTAAAGATGACCATCGTCGCTGAACTATGTCCCATGTTGGATATATGTTTTACAACACAACCGTATAGATGAAGTTTCATCCGGTGTGGATTGGTAATTATTATTGTTATTTCGTTTTTTAGATGAATTAACACCTAATTTCATTTATTGTGTTTTAGTCTGGCTCTTGGCGTGCATTTCCTCAGTTCTGTGTCAAGATGGCATCAGTATCAACGATGCAACCAAGAGTTCCATACTATCAGACATTTCAAATCTACAAGATTATGAATCCACCACGTCTCAAAAACAAACATTAACCATCCGAGAAGAGCAAATTGAAGATGAGCTAAGTAATGATGCGACGACTACAACAGAAAAGTTTATGGAAAAACGAAAATTTATAATTAATCCTGTTAACGAAAATGAAGAGTACCGAGAAACCGTAACAGATCGATACAATGAAACTACTATTAGAAGTAGCCTTAGTTCAACTAAAAAAACTAAGGTACCAATTTCACCAAGCATTAAAAAATATGATGACCATGGTGACGTGACTGATAACGGTGATGGTGTTGATTTTACGACATCATTTGATGGATTGGTGAAAAAATCTACCGTTGATAATGGAGAGAGAAAAACTAGACAGCGATTAGATGGATTAAAAGGGGTTACCACAAATAGAGGGAAAACGAGATTCCAAAATGAACCAGGAACTTCAGAAGTTCCCGAAATTTTAACAACTCTACGCCATAAAAAACCTATTAGAGTTAGACCTATTGATCAAAATGTAAATGATGAAGAAGTAAGTACAACTTCGATGGTAGAAGATTTAATTGACACAACCACAATAATCGATAATTCTGATAACGAACAACAAAGACCAAAATTCAAAAAACCACCCTTAATAGCAACTCACCATCCGAATTTCGGAACTTCAACTGAAGCATCTCGTAGACCCGCAATTAGACCAAATTTGAACTTAAAACAAAAAATAACCTCTTCTACTATTAAAACAAGGCCATCTGAACCCGACGTAACAGAACCCGAAAACACAATATCGAACAACAAAACATTCGAAGTCGTCTCTTCTAATACACAGTTCAATAAAATGAGGCCGATTAAAGTAACTGCTTCTAAAGGGCCAGTAGCTCAACAGCCTATTCCGCCAACTGCTACCGCATGGGCTTTGGCATCGCTAAAAGCACCAAATACCACCAATAGAATATTCAGGAAACCTCTTAATGTAACAAATACGCAAGAACAAATTGCTAAAATTAAACCGTTCGTTACATGGTCTACAAGGCTACAAAAAACGAACGAAGAGAATTCGAATACAACATCTGCTTCAAATATGACGGTCGTCACCGAGTCTAACGACACATCTACAATTCCAACAATATTCGTAGCAAACGAATCAAGTACGGTTGATCGATTAACACCGGAAATTGTATCGACGGAATCTTTAATACATATAATACCCACGTTATCAACAGATTATAAACCCAATGAAAACAATTCTACCGTGACTGTTATCGGCGGTGATACCGATCAAAATAAGTATGAAGTATACGGATCTCAAAGGCCTGATATTGAAAATACAACAACAGTCATTGAAACATTACGTCCTTCGTCATCGACAACATCACAAAATTCAAATTTGTTATTAGTAACATCTTATAAATCGATTTTCGAAAACAACAATACTTCCGAAGACCAACAGAATGTTTTTCCGTCGTCCGAAGCTCCTTTGACGGAAAGTATATTAAAAAAAGATGACGAAATAATAACATCGACGACTAAACAGTCGAATGTTTTCCAAAGTAGCCGAGAAACACCTATCACTGTAAATGAAGAAACCTATAAATTTCCAGTAATACAAACATCGACCGAGATATTTGGTAAAACGCCAGCCATTTTATTTGACTTCTCCGAAGATAAAAATAATAATAAATTTCCAGTCTCAACTGTAGAAGTCCAATCTAGTAGCCCAGATGCACCATTTTTATTTTCTCACGATATTGATTTAAATAATGAAAATCAATCGACCACTACTGAACACTACATAGAAAGTATTAAAACCAAGTTGGATGGCAAAATCGCCGCGTCTACAGAAATTCACGATTCGTTTGAAATTGATAATTATTCGCATATGTTTTTGCCAGAACGTCCGATATCTAGTACAACTGACAGAACCGAAAGCGCAATTACAATTTCAGAAAAAACAACATCTGGTACGTTATTTCCTATACCAATTACCAATTAGTATGTAACATGGTAACATATAATAATCATTTTTAATTTTTTTTTTTGTTTTACAGAATTATCAATACCCTCCAATGAGATATCGAATACTTCTCAACAGCCTAATTCGTACAATATTTCTGATTATTTGGAATCTAATTCAACAGAGAGTCACGACGATGTAGGGGACGATGGTCACAAAAACATCGAAACGTCTTCGCCGAGTTCGATTGCGGCGAACGAACAAATATCAGAATCGGATATTTCTGAAAATGATGTTCCTATACTAATTACCAGTTCATCGACTTCGACAACAACTACAACTACTCCGAGCCCAGCGATTACAACGACAACCACAACCACCCCGATTCCAACAACTACAACGACGACTACAACTACAACTACCCCGAGACCTACGACGACGACAACAACAACTACAACTACAACTACAACCACTCCGGCACCGACAACAGCATCACCAACAACAACAACTTCAACCACTCCGCCATCGACAACAGCATCCACAACAACAACAACTTCAACCACTCCGGCACCGACAACAGCATCCACAATAACAACAAAAACTTCAACCACTCCGGCACCAACAACAACATCGAATACTCCGATAACGTCAACTACACATAAAACGACGATTCCGACTTCGACTACTCAGAAAATCACCACTCCGATAACCACAACTGCACGAACGACAACCTCTACCTCATCGCCCGTAATCATTGAAATCACTACTTCTCTGTCGACCACTACAAGACCCAAACCGTCTTTCACTCTTCCGTCCACTACTTCAACTCATACGCCGAATTCCATTACCTCGAGACCTAAACCGGCTGTGGTCGATAAAAGTTCGACTACGCCCGGATCTGACATAGATATTATTCAATCAAACTTGAAAGTAATAGTAAATTCAACAATGGAGGACGTATGTAATAGCGAAGACGAACTAAAAGCTGCCATTATGCAATTTTTTGAAAGGGGAACCAGGAGGTACTTACATACGCAAATAATAAATTATTATACATTGTTTTATACCAATGTTCGTAATTTATAATATGTGTAATCGATTTTGTTTTTTTTTTTTTATAATGTTAGTACGAACAATCAAATTCAGTTCCTTAACGTCAACGAAAATGTATGTGTCAATCCAAACGACGTGGATCGACCAGTGGGGGTGGAATTTTATTTCGTCAACGGCCACGGCGAGCATAACACATATATTATGTACGAGAAATTTAACGACTTACTGAAAAACCAACGGCTCGACTACAAATCGAACGTACGTGCTAATCAATAATAGTATAATATTATATATTTTCGTGGACTTTTGTTTTATACAATTTATTTAAACATTGATCATTTTTAATTTTATTCAATGTTCGGTCATCTATACATGTAGGTTATTAGAGTCGAATTTATGAAAAGAATGATCGAACACGAAAGTATCGATCAGTACGAGACGGACAATCCGAGAGTGAAGACTGCCATATATTTATCATGCATAGCCGGCGTCTGTAGCATAATCGTAATGATTTTGGTGAGTAAACATTTTGTAATAATACTACAAATAATATTTGACCAGGAACGGAGTGGTTCGAAAATTGTTACCGGGAAAAAGTATATTTCCAGAACACTTTAATTTTTACCTTTCTTGATACTATACTGATAGTTGTACACCAACTTAAATATTGTTTGTATAGAGAAATATAAAAAAAAAAAAAAAAATGTTTAGACCACACATTTGTAGAAACTTTTATAATTGAATATAATCGGTCGCTTGGGTTTTCCTTCGGCTTTCGCTGTTTTTGATACTTTGAGGTCAAAACAAACAAAAACGCCCAACCCAAAAGAATAATATTACGATATAGTAAATAGTCATCACCACATTGCTGCACGATTGACGAAGAAAGTCTTTTAGAAACGATTGCAAACGTTAATATTATAGTTATCAGATTCGATTTCAAAAACGTTTACCAGTACCTACGGGAATGTGTACTATGAAATTCAATGTAGAATTGGCGTATTGTGCGCCGTAGTTGAAATTTCCCCGGCAGGCCATTCCGCCCTTGTGTTTGACCGCTTGGATTCGTATATAAACAATATGTTTCAACCTGTGTGAAAACAATTTATAGTTGGTTGTTCGCAAACGCCAAAAGCGATTCAACTACGGTCAACGATGTACTCCGGTGTCTTTGGACGATTACAGCATGGACAACATATCGGTGTACAACAGCGTGAGAAGAAAAGGCGCTTTAAGAGCATCAAAACGGTCTTACGGGAATCCTGCTTTCGACGACTCGGTATGTACAGTTTAGGTTTGAACGTTAGTTTTTATTCCTGAACACCGTTGATAATATTAAATGCGTATTAAAATTGTATATTGTAAATTGTCGAGTTGTACCTACCCGTTTTAATTAAATATTGCCCGAGTTCCGACAAACCACCGAGGCCCGGAATCGCATTTCGTAAGCATAATAATTTAGCAGCGATAGTCGTATTATATCATAGGTACAGTATATTTCGTTTGCCGTGTCAGTTTGGTACATGTTTGTTAATAGACCATTGTGAATTCATCTAAATGATAAACCTAAATCATAACCAACACTTAAGCTGTGAAATTGTCTTATGACTTATAAATGATTATTTAAAATTCAAAAACGTTAATTCGGTCCTGAGTCTGAATGCATACTACCTTCCCAACTTCAGTAGTATCGACGCTTTTTTCTTCTTTTTAAATATACATACGTCATAAATTATGTTTTTTTTTTTTTTTTTTTAATTAAACTCCGCGTATCCACGCCCAAATGGTTTCGATCGTATTATTATCGCTAGGTGCACGGCGGCGCGGCAAACCTCTTATCGTTATCACTACGTCAACCGATGGTGCACCCAGGAGGGGGGCTTTGGAGCTAAAGCCCCGCCCCTATTTTTTTTTTATGTTATATAATATTATTATTATTTTTACAATAATAAAACATATTTTTTTTTTATATGATTATGTTTAATGCACATTAATAGTTCAACGGTACGTGATAAAGTTTATGGCAATCGATTATTTTGATAAAAATTATTTTAGATTTTGAGTGGAGTGAAGAAGCTTTTGGTTTTACAAAGATGTTTATTTTTTTTTCTGTGTACAACTTTTCTACTAGAGGACTTGCTCCGATTTTTACGTATAGCAATTTTTCAAATCAGTATGAGGAGGTACTTAAAGAAGTCATTTTTCGATTTTCTCGAAATTTTTTTCAACAAATGTGAACAACTGGGGGAACCGGGAAAATCGGCACAACATTGAACAAATATCATTAAAGAAAATATATAGAGCCTATTTAATTATTTTACTATAATATGGCGTATGTATTATTGAGAAAGCATCATTGTCAACTAACTCCGCTTAGAATCGTTTTTTCATAAGCAATGGTTTATATCGTTGCTTACAGGTATACATTAAATTACCTGTAACAGTGGCTACACCCGTCTCCACGGCGTCTTTTTAAATTTATATTAGCGATTACGTCGGATCGTCACCCGTCGTCTTAGAATTTTGACTGTCGGCTGTATAACATTATAATGGTTAGGTGTTTCGTTAAACAAATTTTTAAGCTTCCCCCCCCCCAATCAAAAATCCTGGGTGCGCGTCTGACGTCGACGTCTTTCTATTAATCCGTATCATATAGAACGTAATATTATAATCGTGGTGAATAATATATACGAAGCATATACGTGCACGAGAACTAATGAAACCAATTACCACTGCGGTGTATATAATAATATGATATGTCGATGTGCTGTTAAACATTTTCTTCTCCCACCCACTCGTCGTCGCTAATACGTTTTATATTATACTGCTCCATATATTATACACGGGAAAACGACGGCTCACCCTGTATACGCGCGAGCGCGCGCGCACACACACACACACACACATACACACACATTCACACATACTCTCTCACTCGCACTCGTTTTTATCGCTTCCCGTATAATATTTTCGTGTTCCTTGACATGTTTGTATCTCGGCGTGTACACTACAGTATTACAGTTTAAAAGAAAGGTCGCCTATTGATAAAAAAAAAAAAAAAATATATATATATAATAATAATACTAACCGTTCGTCAAGTAGCGTACTTAATGTACGAGTACACGAATTATTTATCGTCGAGATCGTAAAAAATAATAGTGACACAGTGACGAGTTCGGTTCATCGGATTAAATCGTTTAGTTTATTCGTAACGTTCGTCAAATATAATAGTGCGCCGCCGTTGTCGTCGTTTCGACAAAATCGGAATCTCATTATAGGTTCTCGGTTTTTCTATGAAAACAATTAATATCGTCGGGTATCATGTGCCCACATTGGTGTTGTTTTAAACAAAAATACGGCAGGACCGTGCCCGCGAGACGCGACAGCCGGGCCAGTAGGTCGAGCAGACGATGGAGTATTTTCACGGTTTTTATGAAAGATGTACATGCACACACGTTGATTTATTAATACTTGAGCGCATCGCACGGCGTTCGATTTTTTTTTTTTTTCTAAATCGTATCCGTATCTCGTTAATGCCGCGACGGTTTTGTCGATTATTTTTTTTTTTTTTTTGGAAATTAATTTTTGATTTTATTTTGATTTTAGACTGCCGTCTCGCACTCGTTGAACTTCGCCGGGCTCGCGAGTTTCTCGGAAGACCGGCCGGCAATTGACGAGGAATTCTCCAACGTACCGGTCATCACGGTCAAGCCGGACGAATTGCCGCCCGGCGCCGAGACGAAAAACCGTTACGCCAACGTCATACCCATGCCGGAGACGAGAGTGACGTTGAACGCGCGCAACAGTAACTGCGGACAGAATTCGGATTACATAAACGCCAACTTCGTCAAAGTACGTAAAAAATCCGTTCAGAAGTCACTGTATATTGACCTCCTATAAAAGTATAAAAAAAAAAAAAAATAATACTCAACGTTTTTTTCACGTCGATATTACCGTTTTAAACAGGGATACAAAGGCGCCGACAAGTTTTATATCGCTTGTCAAGCGCCGATGCAATCGACCCTGCCCGACTTTTGGCAAATGATCTGGGAACAAAACACCAGAGTCATCATGATGGTCACCAGCTTGACCGAGAAAGGAGTGGTAAGTTTTCGCAGTTAATCATTATAACAAGTTGAATTAGAAAAAGGAACGATTATAATACACCGACAGACAGCCGTTTGTAAAAGTTACGTGACGCGAAACCGCGATCGGTAGGTTTTCACGTATTATCGATAACTTAAAACCTGGAATTAAATTACGTGTGCAATCTAATCTAAAAGGTATCCACATAAACAACAAACTAAAATCATACTTACGGTTGACTAGGACACATTACAATATCTGCGTAGAAAGGTATCTCATATTATGCATTCGAAGCATTTCCCTGTATTTGAATGAGCCACAAGACGTTTACCTGTATTGTATTTCTTACACAAGTTGTAACTCGTAGGCATATTTTTATCGGAATTTTAATTTTCGGTTAACTGTTTTTTTTATTCTCGACTAAAAGAGACGTGCGTACGACGTGTTCTATATTTTAGTGTCTTGTGTTTTGATGTTTTAACGAGCGTCAGTTGCTATAGTGTTTATGAATATTATATTCGTATCCACCTCCGAAGACGGTCGTCAAGCCGCTCGGTCAAAACAATAATACGTTTTAGTGTTTTTAAAATCGTTCAAGTTCATTCGGTCACATTAAAACTCTATTCGATTTTATGATAATAATATCCAAGGTGATTAACACAACGTTAGACGCTCATTATCTCGGAAAGTATTAATTTTTTTTCGTTATTTGTTTCTTTAGAAAGTGTAAGAGTCGAACAGTTAGCTTTAAAATGTTACATTTGCGTTTTTTTGTCACCCTTATTTTCGGGGATGAAACCATTACCTACTTTCGATTTTTAAATATCAAATATTGAAAATTCCATAAATAGTTGGGATATTAGTTCAAATCAATTTTGACAATGAAGTTTTTAATTTCGGATAATCCATTGTCGAGATATTCCACTTTTAATTTCTGCTGGGGAAAATAGTGGAGCGTCATTTGTGTGGCACGCGGTGTTTAAATAGTGTTTGTGTTGACGGAAATCGAAAATGTAAACTAATATTCCAACTAGTTTTTGATTTTTTAGTATATGTTGCTATTCGAAAATCAAAATTAAGTTTTGGTGGTTGTTTCATTCCCATAAATGAGAGTGACAAAAAATAACAGTAATATAATATTTCAGAGCGACTTGTTTCTTAATATTAAAAAAATAAAAAACTAAATTTCGAAAAAAAATGAATACTTTCCGGCATAGTTATTGTCAATTATTTCTTTTAGATTTCGAGTGTGACGGAGAAGCTTTAAAATTTTACTGAGATGAGGTTTTTCTTTAGAAAACGTTTTTTTCGATTAGTAAAAATGAATCGATTTTATCACACTTCACCTAAGAAAAAAAACCGGTGATTCTTCGCCCGTTGTCAGTTTCTATGAAATATTTGTCGATATTCCTCATATTTTTTTTTTCAAACGCGAAAAATACAAACAATAAATTACGACGATACGTCGTCGGTTTTATTTTTGTTGATTTCCATACGATTACTTTGCTTAAAAACGAAAAAATCATAATATATCATATTATGTACTTCATATAGGCCATATAGCGTTACCAGTTTACCGAGTTCCATTCAGAATAGTTTTTTTTTTTTTTTTTTTTGATTGCAATAATTTATAATTGGTTTTTGTAGTTTATACAGCCAAATAATTGTAGCCTATATACATTCCCAACAACCCGCCTACACGACTACTGCAGTGGCCACGTCGCGAAGTGTAATATATCAGGTTTTTTGAAAACGAAATATTCGTAGTTTTACTGATCGGATATTATCCGACAACGAGATGTGCATTTTTCAACCGCGTCATCTATACCACAGAACGCATCGTATTTGTTATTATCATAATATTATTACAATGAAAATCGTTTTCATAATAAATCGTAATGCTCGAGATAAAATCGGTTCGTTGAAAATTGTATGAATCTTTTAATAATAATAATTAGTTAAACCATTATTACGTATACTGATAACTATACTGTATTCTTACAAATTATATAATTAGTTTTTTTTTTTTTTTTTTTTTTTTTGTATACAATCGTTTAAATAAAAGGTCATTTGATTTAAAACTTCAATTCCATTACTGCACTATTTTAGGCACAATACGAAATCAAAACGTTTGGTATTTTTATCTCCACTTAATTTCGTTATTAAATCGTCTTTCAGAAATTCCGTTACAAATAATATATAATCGTTGACGAGTACCACTTACTATAACAACTATACCATTCTGATTGCAATGTCTCGTCGACGGAGAATATTTCGTAAATCAATAAAAATGCCTCGAATCGATTTCGAGTGTTTCAAAACACGTCTACAACTGAACTTCGCTCGGCACCGTACTCGGTCTGCGACGATTTATCGTTACGATATAATTGAGGTGACTCTATGTATCACACCTCCCGGATATCACGACCCACAACAGTCGGAACCATCGGCTCTTTATTATTAATTTTTAGTTATAAAAGGCAAAACGGGGTTTTTACGAGTTTTCCGGGGATCAGGTACATCCCCGCTGATAATAAAGCCATCACGCACATACGAAATTTCAACCCCCCCCCCCGGTTCATTTAGGAGGAGAGAAGATTTCTATAATACTACACTCTGATCAGTATTTTATAAAGTAAGGATAATTTATGCGACGGGATTATAATATTTCGATAACGCGTATATATTGTATAATGTAGGCAGTTTTATTATCGAACGAAACGATTTTTATTCAACTTGTTTTTTTTTTTTTTTTTTTTTTAAAACGCGTTTTATTATAATATATTATTTTGTTCGATTATGTAAAAGAAACCGAGCGCGTTATTTAAGCGTATATATTTGCAATCTAAAATATTCAAATTTGAATATATTATAAACCAGTCTTTTTCTACCATAAAATAGTAGACTGCATATTATCTCCGAATTTTTTTTTTTTTTTTATAGCGATCCTATAAAAGAAACGCAGGTATCTATGCAATATACTTGGTATCTATAATTTCTCGAAGAAAAACTTGTCTACTATTTCTATTCGAATTAAAATATGCACATGTATTTTTTTGATTTTTTTTTTTCTTGTTTTAAACATGCTCCGTTCTATCACTAACCTCCCTTTTCCTCATATCGTTCACGTTCGTCGTGGGGGTTTTGTAATCGTAACATTTGCTTATTGTGCAACTAGCACTGTAAATATTCTTCTAAATAAATATAAAAAACAGCGACTGACACTAATGATTTTCGACGGTTTAGACGAACTATCGAATATTTATACTCAAATATTTGTATTCCATGGCCAAATACACTTTTATTCGGAAAAATATCGAATATTTCGGACAATTATCGAATAGTTTTTCCCCACAATAAAAAAAAATTCGATAATATTTCCCATATGCGAATAAAAACTATTAGAATAGTTTTTTTTTTTTTTTCCATATCTGAACACAGACCGTGTTCAATTTATTCCGTAATCTAATAATGAAACTATTCCAACGCAGTGTTCGACGTATAATGTCGAATAATTCGAACGCTATCAACAACGGCATAATAGTTCGATAGTAACCATTCGGTTGTGCCCATCACTAGTTGAAACACATTTGGAAACCGCGGTGCACTGCAGTTAGAGCAACAGCAATAAATATTATATAATCGCGTACGTAGCGTATCTGTATTACGTCTTAGGCAATAAACTGTTGTATATTATACGTACATTTTTTTTTTTTTTTTTTTTCTAGTTTTGTCTATAATGGTTTCTTTGACCCTTGATTATTCAACAGTAATAATAATAGTAATACACGCGCGTATGTTATACTTAATGGACACGAATGATTTTAGTTGCTTTAATTAAATTTTCGTGCAACAACACGAGACATTGCAGTGTACTCATTAATAAAATGTATTGAATGGTTATAATTCCGAAATCTAAATCGAGTAAATTTCGTACGGGTTTTCACCGTTAATTAATTAATAGCTAATTATCAATGTCCGATAGTGTAGCGAAGTAGTTGCTCGTTTTACTAAATTGGGGAAAATCCTCCGATTTTTTTACAGTTCTTGTGCCTCTAGAGATGTAGATTTTTTAACCGATGGTACTTTATTTGAACAATTTATCGAAATTCCTAATCGTTTTTCAAACGAATGTCTTTTTACGTCTGGATTTTTGTTGATTTGGCGACAACGGACAAACTCGACTAATACGCTACTCCGCCCAGAATCGTTTTTAGTTTGCAGTGATTCATCGTTGTATACAGTAAACTAAATTATTCTGTATAAATCTTACACTCCAGACTATCGGCTTACATCTGCAGTGGCTTATTCGTGAGAAGTATTGAACCTTTATTAATGCTATTCAATTTTAGAACGAAGTTTGTTTACGCATATTATTTTCTATAGTGAATTTTCAACATTTCTGATACGCACTGAATTAAAATATTAATTTTAAAACACGCGATTAAGGTCACCACCGTTCGCCTACAGTCAACAGTTTCGCCTGCAAGTTATATTAACAATCGTATATGAACAATTACGAATTTTCATTTAATTTAATTTTAATAATTACGATTAAATTGTTTCCTGTGGCGTGTGTTTAAAATACTAAACAGTATTGTGTACTGTCATTGCATTAGAAATATAAAACATATTATAAATCCTAACCGTATTGAACACTAAAAAAAATTACTTACCTACAGATAGCACAGCTGAGAATATAGAAATTCCAAAAAAATCTACGTCTATACATCTGTACATTTTTCGGTAATTTTTATTTATTATTATTATTATTATAATTTTTTTTTTTTACAGGAAAGATGCGCCGATTATTTACCACCTTCGGAAGTCTTGGACTGTCATCGGTTGTTCGGCGATTATCAAGTGACGTTAAAGAAACGAGAAGTAAAAGAAAAGTTCATCATATCCAATCTACAGTTAAAGGTGAATATTAATAATATAAAATAGGGGCCTACACGCGTATAATGAAAAAAAAAAAAAAATAATAAGAAAAAGAAATACCTAATAACGTGTTGACATCGAATCACGGAGTGATATTGTAATTTATGTTTTATTGTCGCTTGTCGTGTTGAATTCGAACCAACAATTTCCGGCCGGAGTATTTTGCGTTTGGCGTCGTGTCGTTTATTATATTATTATATTGTAGTGTGTCGAGATTAAAAAAAAAAAAAAAAAATACAATAACAATAAAAAATAAAAATACCTATGCGGTAGTACGCAATAGTGACAATGTGACAAGTGCATACCGCCGAGTAAATTCCAATACTTACATCAAGAGGTTAACGAAAATCATAAATGTTTTCCATGTAATTTTTAAAATACCTACCTATACATATATATATATATATGTACTATGTACATTTAAAAGGTAAATATTTTGAGTGAAATAAGTTGAAAAATATTTCGTTTAAAGGTCTCGTGATAACATTTTGTTCTTTCTGTCTGTCGCGTGTGCAGTACTCGTATATATTAACAAAGGCATTCCGCGCCGTCTCGATTGCGACCATGTGGTTGAGTTTAGTGCAAGTTATACATTTTACTAACAAAAATTACATAAACTTTAGCGCTTCTCCGAATTATTTTCCAAACATGGTTATTTTAAATAAGTTGTTAATAATTAAAATTAAGGTATGCGCATCCTGAGAAGAAATGAAAATATTGAAAAATAAAAAAATAAAATTTTAAGAAACGCTAATAAATACTCGTCTTTATAAAATGGCGCCTTTGTTCTGAACTCAACCAGAAAGTCGCAATTGCCGAAGTGCGGAATGCCTTTGTCGCTATATTACGCGCGAGACGGACAGAAAAAACCAACGTTTTAGTGTCAAACTTAGTGACGAAGCCCTTAACATCAAAAGGTCGAAAACGGATGATAAAACGACAAACAAAATATATATTACGCATTAAATGTATAACGTTTAGTTGTATCGAATACTAAACAAAGGTTATAGTGAACAATGTTCTATAACGAAGAACAAACGAAACGTATTTAATCGTAGAGAATGTCGAAATCCGCGGTCGTTTTGTCCGTAACGATTTTTTAAAAAAAAAAACTCGTTTTTTTACGGTCGTAAAGATATATTTATAAATATATAAAAAAAAAAAAAAAAATGATGATAATAAGTGACGGAACACGCCAACTAACCATTATTTACTTTATTAGAATTAAAAAAACAATGCACACACACACATATATATATATATATATTCTGGAGTAAGTTCGCGTTTGAAGTACGTATACCATTATCATGTTACACGAATCGGTAGGTAACGTATACATTGTTAGGTACCTTTCTAATTATTTTTCGGTGCATTTCTGGGCCGTCGTCGAACAATCGAAACGCCGTTTATGAATCGGACCGAATATTATAACAACGTGACGTGTTCCGTTCGGTCGAATTATTGCTATCCCGTTAGCCGATGTTTCCCAGTACGAGACGGCATCTTTCTCCCCGGGTGCCGCCCGAATAAAACCGACCTCTTTTCCCGTATTATAATCGCGTGCGTTATTAGTAATTATTGCGATACAACGAACCGTTTCCCCCCCCCCACTGGTCTATTATGTGCCATTATATTATCGTATCGACATTATTATACCACAGACAATATATTATTCTATTATAAACTATATAGTCTTAAGTTTTTATAGCCCTGAAAAAGCAACCGGTTGCAGTGCGCCGCCTTGGTTAGTCCGAAATTCCATAATCGTTTGTTCGACAAGAAACAATCGTTAAACTTTCATCGAAAATAATGTTCTAAAAGACACAAAACCTCGAATATTCTCATCCATAAACAATATTGGCCGAATTGAAGATTTTCTAGAACGCTCGAATGCTTCAGACCAGACCACTCGCTCTCCTCAGAAGCGATCACACGTTACAGCAGAATGTTACATTCTGTACAGCCCCCATGCTTAATCCATTTTTCATTACAACAAAAATAGTATAAAATATAGGTTTATAAAGAAATGGACTGATAACAGAGAGAGAGAGAGAGAGAGAGAGAGAGAGAGAGAGATAGAGAGAGAAAGAGGACCTGGAAGATTGAAAGAAACTTCACAGCGAAGATTGCAAAAAAAAAAAAAATAGTCCTATCGAATTTTCAGGCATTGGCTATTTCTTTCTAACGACGCTGGTATTAGACAACTTCAAATGCAAGGTATGGGGGACATACAATTTATGTATATTTATAATTCGTCTAATATCTATGACAGTGGTATACTCAACCAGATAGTGGCCAAAAACCATAAGTATCATATTGTGTACACTGCATATCGTATTATTTAAGTTCTATTAAACGATTTTTTTAAAGGGTCGTAATAAACGCAAAAAAAAAAAAAAAAAATTAAGGGGTCGCAATTCGTTAAAAACCAATCGTTTATGGTCTATCGTCTATTATAATATTGTATTATATTAACACATATTAAATAAACCGTACAATGTGCATCCAATTGCGTTTCCGAATAGAAGAGCAATAATAGTAATATTAAAATCGTATCTTCTATCTTGTTCACCAATAAATTGACTTTTTTCTTCCATTAATTTTTGTCTTGTTTCTATGCGTACAGCGAGAACTACGGTCTTATATTACAAGTAGTTCGCGGCGAGAACTGAGTGTATACTTTATTAGTGATTGAGATGACCGTCGATCAGTATAGCTTATAACCATTATGTATTACCTATGTACCGTTTATAACTGACCATTTTCGAAATCCCGACAGATACCTTTGAAGCTGATTTCAAACGGGTCGTATATTTATGTGTCGATAAATTATTTGGACGCGGCGGGCGTTTTTCTAGTAAAGTATCGGGAACCGAGTTTCGCTACCGCGGTTATCGTGCGGATTTCGCTATAGCGATTTCCATTATATTATGCAGTTATCCCGTACGGAACACTGCGATGGAATTTACATTTTTATAGAAAATATTATATAACGCGCATATATAAATATATATTAAGTAAAATAGACAAATCTAAATTCATACCGGATTAAAAACGATTACGATGATAATAATTATAATAATAATAATAATAGTTTTATCAAATGTGTTGGAGTTTTTACCAATTAATTTAGCGATGCGTATTTTCTGACTGCCTACATAATGTTATCGTTGTTGTTAATTGACGCGTCTATTTGCCCGCAGAACTTGGAGACGAACCTGTGGCGGGACGTGACCCACCTGTGGTACGGTGGCTGGCCGGTGCAGGGCGTGCCGTCCGACCCCGGCACACTGCTCTCATTTATCATGGAGGCGAGGTCACACATGAAGAACAACAACGGGCCGCACGTGGTCCACTGTAGCCCGGGGACCGGGAGGACGGGCACGATAATCGCTTGCGACGTGGCCATCAGGGAGTTCGAACTGTCGCGCGCCGTCGACATACCGAAAACGGTGTACGCGATCCGCCGGTGCCGGGCCGGAGCCGTACAGACCAGAGACCAATACGCCCTCGTCTACAAGGTAAACGCACACCATCGTTTCACCGTTGCCCCACTACCCCCAAACATTACGTTCTAAGGGCATTTTTTTTAAATTTTTTTTTTGAAAACCCAGTCAGTAGACTGACTGTAAAAATGTCGATTTTCCGTAGATATGAAGACATGCGAAGTATATATAGGCGAAAAAATAGCGTGAATAATAATCCTGCGTGTTTTTCTTACAATACGAACAGGCTGTGGCATTGAAAGAAAATACATTCGATACTACTGTATAGCTACCGTATTAGAAACCAATAAATATCACGGTTTATTTAAAATTAACGCACCGCGGTGGTTTTCGTTGCCGTGCAAATCGTTCAGACCGCGATTTCGAAATAACAATTATTATGCAAATTTAAAATTACATCGTGAAAAATTTGCCGTTTCGATATCTAGTAGATTCTGTTTATTTCTCTCCTATTTTTACTGTGAACTAGACGAAAAAATAAACATACCAATTTACGCCTTGTGTATTTATACTATCTCTTCCCTTTTTATCGTCAGTGTAATCTTCAGATTAATTGTTTGCAGCTCCCCGTGCCTCTGTACCGTAATTCGTTTTAATCCTTGTATTCTTTTCCATTAATGCTCTTTGTTATTCAAATCATTCTACAACATCTCCTTCGATTATTGCTTTCAATAGACACGCATCGTGTATATGCAGTACCATATATTATATTAACTGGATTGAACCATAAGCGCTCAAAGTGTATTTTGATAGTGTAGCAGAATTTGAAATTCAAAGCCACCACCCATCTCAAACGATTTTACTTACCCATATAAATATGTACCTTGGGCGCCACTGGATTGAACATTCATCTCAATCCATGATATTTCAAGCACTTATATGTGTCTGATATTTTGTTGTTCAAATGTACTTATGCTTATAATTTAAAAATTAACTAATCGAATTTTTCGATGATTTCAGGTGGTCAATTTGTACGCGAGTAAACTCTCCGGCGGTGTATTGGATTCCATTTAGTGACCTATCGTATTACTCGTTAAACTTTTTTTTTTTAAATTTTTTTTTTTTAAAAAGTTAATATATTGTTAGTTATTACATAATTTTATAATATCTTTTATAACTATTAGTTAATGTTATTATTGTTATTGTTATATTATATAATATGGTGTCTCTCTTTTGTACGATAAGTCCGCTTGTTATAGGTATATGAATTCCGAACAAATTTATTTTAAGTCGGGACGATCTATATTCGATATTATAATCTCCGAGTTCAAACATAGCAATTCTGTGATAAACGATATTTTATAATGATATATATTATGATGATAATTCGTGATCAAATAGGTGTTAACCGGTTCACTTCGTTCTTTCGACGGTCGAAGACGGTTAAAAACTTTGGTGTCCTGTACTATTTTTTTTTTTTTATTATATATATTTGTTACGTATAGGTATATATTATTGAGCCTTTCGTTTTTATTGTACATAATATTTTAAAGATGAAATTATTCGGAAAAATGTTCTTCGAGCGTAATAATAATATGATATTTTTTGTCAAAAAACCTTTTTCCCGTTCTCGCTGTTATCTCTTAATAACGTGTGTAGATATCGATTGACATCGTCCAATACGCCGGATTATTTCCAGATTTTATAATATTAGAACTTCCGAAAAGAAAAAACCACGTGACATCCTAAAGTACTCGTCTATGGGTCGATATTGACGAGTACCTGTAATAATATTATATGACACCCTCTATATTATATTATTGTATTTTTTTTTGTTTTCTATTCGTATAGAACAATAATGAAAGTTCCTCTTTACGTATTTACTTTCGCATTGTCGGTATTATAATATTATATTACTATCGTAAACATGATATATACTACTATTTATGTATAATATAATAGTGATAAGGTTGAATCTACATACTCTTAGTGTTATAATATTATATTATATGCCTCTACATTATTATACAATATCTATCTTTCATAAAAATCCATAGATTGTTTAATATATAATATTATATAATTATTATTTATGTTTTTTTTTAAAAAAAAAAGAGATAAAAAAAAGTAAAACCGGAAATTACTGTTCTTACACATTGCAACAGGTGATGGTCGGTTGTCGTCACCCGCCTTCCCCTCCTCGGAAACCGTCTCGAAAACGTAACCAATATTGACAGGTATTATAATTATTATCCGTATTTAAGTCGCGAATATTTTACACCCGTTTGCTTAATATAATACCGTATTTTTGTTTCTATACACCTGCCCGCGCGTTTTGAAAACGCCCGTCAATACGTGATTATCGTCGGCAAAATACCGTTTAATATTCTACACACACCCCGCGAGAATTAACACGTCACTTCGATACCTATAAAGTCTTCGAACATAATTTTCGATACTATCGTATTCCTTAAAATACAATAATTCCCGTCTGTTCGATGATAACGGCAGTAATCCCCGTTCGTTCGCGTTAAATCCGTAAATACCCGAAGATACAGGAAACACAGACACCCGAAGAAAACAGGGTTCGGTTATAGTTAACTATAATATTTTCCACTCGCTGTTGTTGTATGGACGAAACGTTTATTCATCATTCTCAATATCAGTATCATCGGCTAAAGCTGTAACTGTCGTGATTATACTCTATAATAATGCAATGTAGTTACGAACAAATAATGTCGTCAGGGGGTACCACTTTCAGCGAATCTAACTATAAATAATATTTATAAAATATCTTCTTTATCTACGGTATAACAATGCTGGACAAGTATATAATTGTTCAATAAGTTTTTTTTTTTTTTTTTAAATTTCGCGTTAAGTTAAAAAATATTAATTTAGTTAAAAATTAAATTTCACATTTCCGTTGGAAATTTAGATACCTTAATAGAAGAAGTTAAATTAATGGTCTCTAGCCTTTTTATTCCCGGTTGATCGATACGCTTCGTTATCGCGCGCTAAAACCAAAAGAAGATGAAAAAAATATAGTTACCATCACTTACAGCGTTTAATTTAAACTAATACCGAGTATATAACTCGGTATATCGGTTTGAAAAGTGATAAGATGGGTTGAAAACTCCCGAGTTAAATGAATATCTCTATTGAATAAACTCAAAACTTTGTAGGAGACAAGTATTATAGACTATGATTATAGCGACACAAAATGAAACTAACGTTGTAATATGTACGTAAATGTTTACATTTTACAAAAAAAGTCTTATTAGTATAGGAGACCCGTTTTTAAAAGAAAAATTAATGCCCACCTATTGTACGCGGGATATAATTATTTTATTGTTGCAATGATCGTTTTTGCGAATTTCCAAAAATAGAAAATAATAATTGAAATTTTACAATAGTTGAAGATTTATCAAATAAGAAATTAAACATTTAGAATAATGAAAACTGGCTTACGACCGAAATTTCACTTTGCTTGAAATACACAAAATCAACATCTTACCATGTTAAAATAAGTAAAAATGAGTTAAAAAGTAACGCGTTAATAATGCCCGACCTTGATTAATAATAACTGTATTTTGTTATTGCTGCGGTAGATATCGAAAAATGAAATCGGGTTTTTATTATTATGTTTATTGTTTTTTTTTTTTTCAATTTAATTTTAAGTATATTATGAATGTATTATAATATTGTGTACCTATAATAGTAGACGACGGACGTATAACCAGAAAAAAAGTATTACGTATGTATCGGTTTTTTGCTCGTCGTTTTCACCCCTGTAATTTATCGTATTGTTGTTTAAACAATAAATCCGTCCTCTCGGTCCGAATTCGCTTCGTAACGTTCCAATAAGATTCACTCGGTTTCGCCGGTAGAAATAATATGTCGACGTGTCGAACATCCCTCGTTTTAGAAATATCTATAATAATATTTCGTTTGTTTACACCAGTATATCTGCGGTGGTTTTTTTTTTTTTTTTTTTTCTTTATAATGATAAAACTCATATTATCTTTACCTAGGTATATTTGAATGTAGTATTGTTATCTTATAATAATATATTGTTTCGGTATTACAATTGTATTTTTGCATACGAATATAATGATAAATAAGTAACGATAGATGCCGAAAAACAAAATGAACAAATAAACACGAGTTATTATTTTATTATATTGTATAATGCATTTATATATAATATATTTTTGCTTATTTTTTCTTCTGGTTTTAATGATAATATAAGGAGGATAACGTCGAGATAATAATATATTATATTTAAGTCACTAATTTTTTTTTTTTTAAATCGGCCGACTGAGACCTTTACATATTAAGAACAGTGTTAATATTAATGAAAATGACGCAAGCGGGCGATTATGGTGTTTAATAAAAATAATTGTCGCCATCGAAGCGCGTCCTTTTGCTAATGCCGAACCGCATGATGTTCGTATTCTCCAAATCGGGATCTCCGCCTTTCTTGCGGTTCATCAACAGGGCCAATAGTTCGGCGGCGGTCGGCTTCCACACCGGCGGTTCGACTGTAATACAAAGAGAGGAAATCACTGACGCGCGTTAATATAAATAACATGGGTACGAATCAACAAGCGCGCCGGGGCTAATAAACGAATAATATTGTATTCGTCGGCATTGGCGGGGGCGAAAAAACGAATTCGAACAGGAATGCGTCGACGTGTAGTCTGTCGGGAACAGCGACGCGACCAGTTTGGGTTAGGATATCGATTCCAAACGGAATAACAAACAATTTCGTTGCGCAAAAAAATGCAAATTTTCAAGTTACCTACAAATTGTATGCCTATAATTGATTATTAACGAAATTGATTGTCATATAGGTAGTTTATATAATAATACTGAAACATCACTAGCAAAAAAAAAAAGAGTTGTGTTAATAATTTTAAGGTAAAACAGTTGTATTTGAATGAAAAAAGAAAATTTAGATATCTACTTAAAATAATATATTTACGAAATTCACGGTGAAAAATCCAACCGACGTTTTTTCAAAGCCAATACATCTACAACTTCATTGACCGTAACCGACACATTTCTGGGTATATCGAGGAGAGTTTAATATTAATTTAATTTGTTTTTCGAGTTTGTATTTTTGAGATATGTTTTAAAACTTTGAAATTATTGTATAATTTATAAACGATAAATAAACAAGTTATTTCTAAGAAAAGATATTTTCATGGATAAATGGGGGGGGGGGATTTTAACGTGGAGTCCGCTCCTTTGATGATGCATCATTGATCAGGAAACAAATTCTGCGGTTAATATGGATTCACAAGTTACTAAGGTGGGGAAAGGAGCGAATGAAAGGAAGAAAAATAATTGTTTTGAAAAGAAAAATCCCGTGGAAAGTTTTCGGACCGGGGATGAAAGAGAAGATAACTGGTAAATGGAGAATAGGATTAAAACAGAAACAAAAAACATATCACAATAAGAGTGAAAGAACGCTCGGTGAATTATTCGGAAACCGATTTTACGTGTGGCAATGTAAGACAATCCGGAAGGGAAGAGACTTCTAGGAAAACTTCGCTTGAGATGAGAAAATTTAGCGTGGAGAGACGTGGAATCTGGGAAAAGAGGGGTCGAACTGGAAATTAAGAGCGGCCAACAGGAAGAATTGGAGGATTGAGTGTGGCTGAGACGGTCCTAGCCTGCCGGTCCTGGCCGATAACCACTGTAAGAAGAGGATATTATTCGACATTCAAAATGTTCAATAATTTTAATATATACGATCAGTTATATGATTATTAATGTGTTCTCATGAAACCAAAATAGAATTTATTTGAAATTTCTGGGTTTTTTGCGGAGCAGTATAACAAATCGGTCCGATTGATTGATCGGCCTTGATTGAACCAGATCAATGTATTGTTGAATCGTGACGTTTCCAATTGAAGGGTACAGGGGAAAAACCAGGATAGTCACTTTTTTTTTTTCAAAATGGCGATATCGGTATCAAATTATTTGTATTGACGTGCCGTATCTATTATATGATCGAAACGGCGAAAAAACCAGACTAGTCGAAAGTAATGAATACCAGAAGTTTAGGTCTACGGGAAAAAATAAACAGATAGTCAATTTATAACTAGGTAAGTGTTGGGTTAATACACGGTTACAGCCTTGGTTAATAATATAACTATGCAATTATTATCTTATGGTTACTACATTTCAAAGCTTAACATTAAATTTAATCAGAACTTTTTACTTAGTAAAAAAAAATTGTTAGGCTTTGAAATTGAAAACACGCTTTTTTCAGTTTGAAAAATAGGTGACTAATCTGGTTTTTTACCCTTCAAATGGATATCGATTGTCGGTTACGGGAAATAATATTTGAAAATAATTAGAAAAACCATACCACCTTATATGGTCGCGGACTTATGATGTTAAATTGAAACATTCATTCCGGATACACACGAGTCCACGTTATTTTTACGATGCGTAATATTGTTTTTGGTAATTATATTACGAAATATTGAATAAATAAAGGCGATTATTATTGTTTTGGTACCTACATAACATACACAATTAATATTGAAAACCGTCACTGATAAACAAATACGCCACTAATCAAAGAGCATCGTTTGCTGAATCGATATTCTAACGAAGGCTGTGCGCCGAGGCTATGTGGTAAGTGACACCTCTGAATATAATATTATCATTATTCATCGTAATAATAATGGCTCGGACGTTTTTGAACGGACAATTATTTTGATTTACAACATGGGTCGTGCCGAGATTAATTATTATTGTGTTATCGTCATGTTAATCATTTTTGTTTCTCCTAACACACTTCTACTTTCGAAATGTTTTTGAGACAGGGGATGAACCCTGAAAGCGTATTCACAGATCCTGCCTATGTTCCGCCTGAACGGTATCGAATACGCAACCGTGGTAGCTTTCCATTGACCTGGGCAATATAGGTTTTAGTTATACACTTATAGAACAATCATTTTTTCGGAGCATTAGGTATTAGGTTTGGATCAACGAATAGGTTACCTATGTTTTTAGGATACGTTTAGGCTTGGGGGTCTGTAAATACCCTTCTGGGATCAACTCCCGCCCCGAAATCGCTTCGAAAGTCGACAAAATATGTTAGAGAAAGAAACGATTAACGTTAATAGAATAAATAATCTCGATATCTGAAAAACCTTTCCACGGGTACGGTCTTGACTACAATAGGTTTAGGAAAAAAAATCGCTGATTATTATTGTCAATGAAGTGGCCCCGAACACGTATTTTGAGTAGTTAAATTGAACTGCCTTGTAAAATAGGTGAATGGATGAAAAGGCAGACATCTCGGTACAGAGCTTCAAAACACACTGCTAAAGATTGTTAACATGTTCAAAAAATCGAATAAATTATTTTCTATATTTCTTATGGCCAACTATATTTCCAATTTAAAATGGTATAGTTAGCTGCGTTAGTGTAATTTATAAAGTTATAACTTTAACATCCCCTATACAAATGTCAATAAAGGGGAAAGGGTTGTTTTAACTATCAATTTCGATTTTATTCGGTGCCACTGAGTTTATCATTTTAAAGGTAAAATGCTATAGATAATTACACCGGTTTTCGTCTTCGTTCATGTTGTTCCTTATGGCGTACGGTATCGGCACGCCGGCGTTTTGGCTGGACCTCAATCTGGCTACCGGATGATAAGGTACCGAATAGTATCTCTTGTGGTTCAATTGGTAAGTTAGATAGTTGGGCGCGTCCGCATAGATCCTCTCGTCAAACCGATTGTTCCAAGGCACAGCCGCAGATATTCCCTCGTCATCTATATACAACAACATAAGTGTTATCATTATAAAACAAAAATGTATTCCCTAAAACACCAATAAAGATTCGTAATTTTTAAGTGGCCTAAACGAGTTTATTGAAAAAAGTCTATTGGGAAGTATTAAGTAAGTAAACAAGTAGGTACCCAAGTATCTGTCTACTACCTAAAGGTACGTACTCGTACGTTGAAATATCGATATTATTTTTATTATTATTACGATAAATGTGAAAATATCGTACTTAAATTGTTTAAGAAAAATGATACCGATTTGAATGCGAAATAAAAATCGTCACGTGGTTTTTTTAATAGTTCTCACTTCCACCAAAAAAAGGTCGTAGAATATATTTTATTATATATGTATTTCGTAAGCTTTAACACAACGTTTCATTTAGGATAGAATCATGGGTAGAGTATATATATATAATTTTTTTCGTTAAATTTGAAAGGAACAAAATATAATATATAAACTGACGGTGTCCTGTCTGGGCAACTATACAATAGACACCAAAATAATAATAATATAATCTCATTTTTATAAGACGTACTACATCTATACGTCTCATATTGTATTTATTCTTATAATATAACAGAAGAACCATTGTAATGCTCGAAAATGTTCAAATAAAAATATTATTATTACCGCAGGGACGCGAGTTAAATTGTTGAGTCTTCAATTGTATCGCATCATTATTATATTGCATATATTTTTTTTTTGCCGCAGCGATATATAATAATAAATTATCATAAAAATTGCAGTATTTTGTAAATTTTCATGGATTTTCTTACTCATTATACAATGTCAAATGAATTTAAGATTTATCATGGCGTACGGAGAATAAGAGACAATATGTTTAGGAAAAACTTTTTGAGTGTAGCGGTTTTACTAGGATGTGGTTTTTTTTCTCTCGGAAAACCCTTTTCCGGTCTTAAGAACGTTCTGATTTTTTACGCCGCATCTCAAAAAGAAACAGATTTCCCGCAATGTCGTATTTTATTCCAAACATTATCTAGTCTTCCAGTAGTTATTCTAAAAAATCGAAAAAACGAAAACAAATGACTATATACATATTGGTTCCGTTTTGATAATTTCTGGACTACCCGGGTTATAATAATGGAGAAAACCACGAATAATACTATAGCCTTATCAAATTACCGAGCTACGTTCAGTGTTGAGTGTTTGATTGCAATAACAGTTGTTTTCAGTATGTAAACTGAAATCCCCAATATCCAATAACCTCTAAATTACCCACTTACAACCTGTCCGCCTGTCTGCTGTGCGAAGTATTTTCAGCTTTTCCGTATAAAAATAATATTATGTCTTTGACTCTTAATACAGAAACGTGACAGTTTAACGATCTAAAGGGATATATTATGTTTGACCATAATTGTTTCTGTTAGGTATTGGAAGAGGCGTAGAATGACTTGTCATTTTTATGCCAACAACATTATGACGTAACCGTCTGATCAAAGACTGATCAAACAGAAGACCGAGAATGAACTACAGTTATGGATTAGGGAATTTTTTAAAGTATCCATCCATTATTGTTTGCCATGAACACTCGAGAAAAATGACATGCACCCTATTTTCCCTGGTGTCAAAGTTAAATAAATATAATATACAAGAGCTTTATAAATAAGGTCAATTGTAGTATTGACTGACGTGGGTAGTTTATAATGAAATACTTTTGTTTTGTGGTTGATGTTTGTAAAAAAAAAAAAAAATTAGAACTTCCGTGCTTATATTATAAAAAAGTGTCAAAGTTATAATAATTATAATATTATTTTTATTACTATAATAATATAAAGGTTTAACACTTGAGAAAATAATTATTATGCACATTTTTATCATATTTTTGTCGGTTTTTCAATCCAGAGATTAGTTTTTCACAAATTTATTTACAACAAAAACGAAAGGGCACGTTTCTCTGTTGTTTGCCATATTCTTGAGTTTCATGCATAAGTAGTGACTTCTGCGTTCTTCATTATTTGGCTGATGTACTTTGTTTTGGGTTTAACTCTTGATCGTATGTTCTTTATATCATTTCTTCAGTTTCTAAACTGTGTAATTATTCACCATGTCTGAACGCGTTATCTGATATTTTCTTTTCTTCAGAGTATCTATCAATGTTCGTTTTTTCTGTTATTGTCTTTAGAACGTTTTCGTTTGCTATTCTTCTAATTCAACTTATTGATAACCTCATTAGCACCGATATTAGGTTTATATACATTTTTTTTGTGATAAAATATTATAATATTTCGGTATCTACTTAAAAATAATACTTGATATCGCCCAATTTTTAGCTTAACATATTTATTTTTAATTAAATTTTCAAAAAATGTTAAGAATTTTTAATAATTAATTTAGGTTTAGGGATTTTTATTCATAGATCTTGGAAGTTGAAAAAATTCGTTAGGAAATTAAACGTACATTGTCTTAAAAAAAAAAACAACATTGTAGGTAGTAGTTAGTGTTATTTCTGAACTATTTCATTATCTTAAAACCCCATTATATTTTTGTAATAATAACAATAATAATTTTATATTTTTGCTTTTACGTAATAATATTTGTAAATTATCACTATAATAACGACGGGACGTTCTACGAGAAAATAAGTCATTTAGTCGACTCTGGAAAAGTTCACTTATACCGCAATTATCTACAAAAACAACAACGAACATTTTTACGATACCTATATATTACGTCGACGAGTAGATATTATAAAAATGGGGTGGGTGGGGGGTGGAGGGGAAATAAAAAAATACCATTCAATAGGACAGGTAACGTTATAAAACCAAAGTACCTATATCTTGTACATTATATTACGGTACTTTTGCCGGTTCTTTTTATTATTATAATGCGGGCTACTGTTTTTAAGACTACGGGGATCGCTATGCAAATTAATATAAACGGTGCGTTAAAATAATAATATAAGAGCCGAGGTAACCGATACTTAGACTAGACACCAAGGCATAATAGTTTATTTTATAGAATACTAATGTCGTTATTATTTCGTTAAACGCGAAAAAAAAAGTTTTCATTGCATAATAATATTATTATATTTACTGTTATAATACTCGTAATATTTTATTATACTTAACACGACGATGGAGTTTGTTTGCGTTTAATATTTTGAAATTGAACCACACACGCTCACTATTTCACTTGAACTCATTAGGTATGTATAATTTGTAGCCTGTATTATACTGGGAATAAAAAAACTTTGCGGACAAAAAGGGCCACATTGTGTTTTAGACCTCATATGGACAACGTCCGGGGTCAAACGCGAGAAATAGTTTCGAGAGTAGGAGGAGGGTTGAACAAATGTCATATTTATATCACTATAAAATTAATGGAGTACTATTTTTAGATCTTAAGAGAAGTGAGGCATAGCATATTGCAGGTTTTACAACGATGTGTGTGGTTATTCTGTAAACTTTCACTTTACCACCAGAAATCTTGGTTTAAATCGTAAGATATAGTAGATTATTTAAAATCTATATTGTATGTAGTTGAAGAGGTCATTTTCCATGTAGTTTTTTTTAATCATAGTGAAAAATCATAAAATAACAGACGCGATACAATTTTAGGGCGTGGTAAAACATTCAGTAGATTTTTTGAGCTTAACCATTTCAATGCACCTAAATGTTTTTGGTCTAGGAAAATGTACAATATATTTATGGAATATAAATTTGATCAGAACATTATCGTTTCAGAATCTGAAACATTTAAATAATTTTTTGTACAATCACTGTTCGTTCACTTCTATATAAAAGTTCGTTAAAACGTAAAAATAAAAATGATCGACGGGTTTAAAATTAACCCATTTAAAATCAAATTGTATTAACGTATAATAAAAAAAACTTTCGTTGTGTTAATATTTTTGTGGTGTTAGAGGATTTAATTTAATAAGTTATTTTCACTAATGAATGGACTCTTAAATTCTCCTACCATTTTTAAAAAAAAAAATTTAAGTGCTTTTGATATTTTTAAGCGACGTTTTGTGAATGTTAAGTGCAATAAGTCCCGTGTCCTGAATTTATAATTAGCTAATATAATTTTTCGTCCAGATAATTCGGTATCGGTCATTGACGTGCTATAGTAAGTATAACGTACATATGGCATAGCCGCCCACATTTCATAAAAACCCCACAAACGATATTTACTATTTAATCATAATCATATATTCATAAATACAATTAAAATCCTGATTTACAGTGTTGCTGTTGCTTTTAAATTACGCGATAAAGCGAGTTATTTAGATTTTTGACGAGAGTGCACCTATCTAATCAATCTCGATTTAGTTTGTTGCAATAAATAACGAATTTATGGCTTCGAAATAATTATTACCTAATATTTTATCTACCCGCTCAAATTCTGACAGTAAATAATTTATTATATTGAATTATACGCTCTAAAAATAAATAATAATGTAGCTTTGTGTGATATAGATACTGGATATTTTGAACAATAGTTTGTCTTTGATGTATAAATTGTCTATGAATAATAAACCAGGCTTTATTGTAAGGATTTTTTCCAACTGCACAAATATGCATAATGAGTAGGGCTCGGAAGTTTTAGGAGGTAAAAAAGGTAAAATATTTACGAGCAAATTGTAAAATATGTATGAAAAAATGTTAAATATGGAAACAATTATTCAAAGTTTATTATTCAAAAATATACAATGCCATTATTAATATGCGCACAATAGATAAAGATTGAATGCGAATCGCACCTTTGTCGTTAAATTAATAGTAGACTGAGACGATAAGAAAAAACAATAGCAAAATACGTTAAACAATATTAAGTTTTAAATTCAATATTGTTTAAAATACATTGGTGAAGAAAGAAAAAAAGAACAATTTTTTTTTAACAATTATTAAATATGCATAATATGCGTAAAAATTTGAAAAAATCAACGAAAATCGATGAAATATTCACTTTTTCTCTAAAATTAATGAAATATGCAAAATATGTATTATAAATGTTCAATTTTTAAAATATCCATTATATAGGAAGAATTTCTAGCTTGGTCTGCTATAAATCCAGTGCACACAGAAAGATATGCAACTCCTATAACTTCCGAGCCCTAGTAATGAGTCAAATAAACTGCCGTCCGCGTCGGCTGTTATAGTATTATACACGCATTATTTTAAATAGCTTCGGCAAAGTAAATTTTGTTATATTCCTTCAGTCAATTGCACTTTTTATATTATCTACTGCATAAATGGTGTCTCACTGTACCTTACAATAAAGCCAGTAATAAACGTCTATATTTTCGGATAATATATAGGTACATACTGAAAAATAAAAATGAACAATACCTAAAAAATTAAACAGAATGGTAATAATTATTTTATGATACGAGAAATAATGATAATGCCACCTTTAAAGTCGTGAAAGTCGACGGTTTAAATCATTATATTGTATTTTATATTCTTCGAAGGGTCGTGCATTTATATTTTGGTTGTTTTATATTAAAACGAACAGTAGTACTGTTCTGGTGGCAAGAGGACGAGATTGACTAAGGCAAAAACGCATCTTAGAAAAGAGCGAAAAATTGAGAATTTATACAATATAGAAATATTTGTAATATATAATTCAATTGGAAATTAATAGAGGTAGTTATAGAGCTAAAGAGATATGGTGCTATAGAGGATATAGAGGATATAAGAACGAGATTTTTCGCGTGACTTTGTTTAAGAATACCTGCAGAAAATTATCGATTTCCGGATTTTAACTCCATGAAAATAGGTCGTTTAAGTTTATTATTATGCGAAAAGTGAAATAAAGTTAATACCTATATGTATTTTTATTACCTACGCGATAATGTATAATGATATTTTTAATCTAAATAATTTCGTATTGAATTTGGGGCCATTCGTTAAATAAATACACTTTCACGTGTTTGAGAAATCAATGTTAAGTATGAGCTACAACTGTTACAAGGCATTAGGTATATTGAAATAACGCGTTCAAATGAATACAAATAGTGTAGTTTAGTAATGAAAAATGTTGGTTACAAAATTCAGAAAATGTTAAGGAGAATAAAAATATCGATTCTGACATATACCAGGTATAAGTTTTACACAGGGGCTTTTTCGTAATACTGACGATTACATGACTTATACATAGGTTCAACATGCATAGTTACATTTTAGATCAAAATTAATTACATTTATAATCTAAGATTTGTACACATACTTACATACATTCTTCGAATCACGTGTAAACCACCCTCTAGTTGTTAAATTCCGCTATAAAAAGAGATTATACATTTTCTCCGAAAATATTTTTACTGAGTACCTAATCAAATACAAATACGTATAGGTATACGTATTGATTTGATTTAAAAACAAATCTAAATAGTTAAACAAATATGTCGGGAGGAGGGTCTGGGTCTCTCTGACTACGTACCTGATTTATTTATAGATTATTCCCCGTGAAAATTATTCATTTTCGCAACATATAAACCGGGTGATCCGTTCAAGTTGATACACTCATTATTTCGCAAAAGTATTAACTTTCTTTTAAATCCGTTTTATACGCAATATTGCATTTAAAACGGCCATATCTTTGTGAGACACTCTATATATTAAAAGTCGCTTCATGTACAAAAACAAGGATGACAATAATAACGGTTTTAGAGCTACTTGTTTTTTAACTGATGAGAAAAAATAACTTTGAAAACGTTAATTATTTTCCGAGAGTGTAACCCATTTAAATGGATCACTCGGTAAATCGCCTACCTATATAAGTATATTACGTTTAAAAATGTTTTCAAACTTCCGGATACGAACATTTTCGTAGAACGTGATACTCGCATATGTATTATTGTCTCTGTCACGTACGGCGGCGTAGCAAAGCATATCAGGTACAATTTTGTGCGGTTAGTTAAATATTTGATTGTATTTGATCTATTTTCGAACTTTTTAACCGAGATATAAGTATTTTTTAATTATAGTACAACACTTGCTCTCATAACTCGCTTTAAAATTAAAATACCGAGAAACTTAATCGACGTAGATTCACATACAGATTAATATGTTCTTGTCTTTAAGTTTGGTAATAGACCAATTCACTCTGATATTAAAACTAACGGCACAAAGTTATTCCTGCTGAATACGCCGTCCTTTTAATAACGCGTAGATAGGTATAAGTACTTAATAATTGTTATTGTTATTCAAATTGATCGAACTTTTTAAAAATCTTGTCTCGTTGTCATATTATCATAAATTATGACATTTTTATTATTACGGTTTTACAATTGTGGATAACAAAATAGTTATTGTTTAGATATTATTGTTCATTGAAAAAAAAATCAGTTTATCCGATTGTAGAGTTCCAATAACATTTTCCGAATATAATAATATGAATGAATACGATATTAATATGTATATAATTGTATTATTATTATTTTTTTTTTGACAATAACTTTTTAACTTGAAATTGTAATTATATAATCTTGTAACGTACCGAGGAGTCGAAATATTTTTTTAGTATGTATTGCTTTAAGATTGTCCGTATTGTCAATAAGACACGTAGTTTTTTTTTCTCAGAAATCATTTTATTGTTTAATCAAAACTAAAAATACTCAGGTTTGTTCACATAAATCATAACTTAAAAGATGACTATGATATCTATTGGTTTGTTTTGTCAAAAACACCATTAATATAAGTATCTACTATACATTCTTATCAGTTTGCTAAATTCCGGTCAGAATCGTTTTTTGATTGTAATAGTTTATCGTTGCTTTTGACATTTTAATTACATTCAACCTTAAATCCAATAGGTACTTTTTAAAATATCCACTTGCAACAGTCGCCTACCCGTGGTGCGATTTTTTAAAAATATTTTTCATTATCACAGATGAACTGTATAATTTCGGCTAAAAATCGATGAAAATCCGAAAAGTACCGTTGTATATACCTTATAATATTAATAATATCCTTAACACTATTCTTTTTCGATTCCTGTTTAAAAAAAAACAAACAAAATATTCGTATTTAGGTACCTTATAGTTTTTTCGCTATTATGTTTATCATCCGTGATAACAGTATACCTATTATTATCAGTTACGATTTTGAAAGGTTTTCGCGTAAGTATTCGAATAATAACATATTATATTTTAATCGTATTGTGCGTCTGATTACGTTATATTATAATTAACAGGTTACGAAATTATCCTTATGTCGAGTCGGTATATTAAATTGCAACCGTTAAGTTTACGAATTATGAAAAACAAATTCCCATTAATTATTGCCATTGTCGTTCTACACTGTATAAGACGTCTGATAATAACCACAGTGACTCCACCTACTCGTCTATTTTAACACAATGTTATTAATTTCCATCCAAAATACCAGCGGCAATATATTCTATAAATTATTAATGGACGTAGGTAAAAAGGACCTTTAATAATAATAATTTCCATTATTTAACTCGACTAAACAACCAACAAACGCATATAAGGACAAAAATCCCGGCGACTAATAACTATTGTGGATTTTTTATCCCCTTGAGAGCCCAGAATTACAGTTTAATGTGTAATCAGTCTTGAATTTTTATTAAAAAAAAAAGTCCATTTACAACAATAGGTACGTGGTGTTTTAAATCATGCAAAAGTAATAAAAACAAAAAATTCGAAAAATGAAACGTAGGACGGAAAATCATCTAAAAGTTTTGTAGATAGTATTTAAATATTTTTGACTTACGACAAATAAAATTATTTAATTTTGATCGTTCAATTTAAACTTATGAAAACTGCTACAAAAATTGTTCCCATAATACTTTCAAACTCGGTCAAATTTCAACCACATTCTAAACAATAATATTAGTCTTATATTTTTTCTTCGTTCTAAAAAAAAACCGTTTATTTAAATTGAAATTGATCAGAACAGTAATAATTTGAGGCTTCTGTAATCACATGATTACCGCACGGTTTTCTATATCTACTTGGCACCGATTTTAGCCTCTTTTTGAAAATCGATTTAGCCACTTATCTATCCAGAAAATCTCTGTATGGGTTTTTCTGGCAGTTTTTAGAACCAGCAAGATTTAAAGATTTTTCAACTGTGGATTTCTACGCAGAGTGCGGCACAATCGACTTTTTTTTTTTATAATTGGTAGAAAACGCGCAGGTACGGTTACGGCAGCCCCAAAATATTAATAATGATCACTACAAAATTACGATCTTAGAAGTAAGAGAAAGTAGAAGTATACAAAGGTCTATTTTTAGATGATAAATTCATAGCCCTTCGCTTACCACGCAGTCTAAACTTTAAACTGTTATAACTCTTATTTAGTAAATCTGATATTAGTGATATATATTTTTAGACAATTATTCTCTATTCTAATTTGTAATCAAAAAGAGGGGGGATTCGTACTTGAAAATCAAAAGTAATATACTTTTTAAAGGTGTATGGAGTAAGGATAACAAATTAAAAACGATTTTAAAATAAATCTTAAACGATTCCTTAATGGTTGAAAAATAACAAAAATTCATTTGAAAAAATTCCTCCCAGAAGATGACATAATAAAATTTCTGATTCATGATAAAATGATCACCTTTATAATAATAATAATAAAATATTTATAAGAAATGTGTTCAAATGTCGAGTTATGCTAGACATTTATAAATACCTATAGTAAGTAGGATAACTTGGAATTTCTTGGAAGTTTGCGTACCACGTCTTCTTTTTCGCTCTTTATACACAAAGCATATTTTGTAAACCACACGGTAAGTATAAGTTAAGCGATAAATAATATTATCATACTGTTTTTGTTGAAATATTTCGTTCCCTAAAAATGTCGTTCGGGATAATCTTTTTAGTAAAGTAAATTAACTTTTCATACACATTATAATATTATGATCGGTATGCGTTTTATCTATAGCTAGTTAGGTTTATGTTTTATCATGTATCTTATTAATTAAAATGAAGATTAGGTTATCTGAGATAAACAAACTAAATCGTCCAGATAAATCTTTTTAAACCATAAAAAATGCGTACCACACAGGTTGAGAATCGTTGATTTAGATAATATTATTCTAACCATTATCTATTTTATATCGTTATCTATAGATTTATTTAAATTTGTATACACGATTATGACGTTTAAATCAGTAATTGCAATAATCGAATAGGTTTCATACTAAGATATCTTATTAAATGGTTATTATCAATTTAAATGTCTAGGTTTTGGGCGTAGCAAGAAATGTGATAGTTTTATTAGGATAAGTGGACATTTTTCTTACCGTCAATAACAACCTCATCCACTAGAAATCTAAATCCGATTTTCAAGTGTAGCACCTTCTCTAAAAGCAAATGTTATTTAGTTAGAAGAGATAGTTTTTCATTTCAGTTTTCTTAATAATTCGGAAAAACGTAAGTTAAACGGGAAAGTTTACGGAAATAACGGTTTCGTTATTTTCGGTTTTCCTTTTTGGTTGTAATTCGGTCAGAAATAATCGAGGAAATTCTTAAAGGGTACATATATTGGCCTTAGGCGTAATACAGTTTCAAAACATTTTCGAGCTATTTGTAGACATTTTTACATTTTCGAGTTTTATAAGTGTTTACTTTGCAATAATTGTTTACTAATATGTTTTACGCGGATAAATTGTTTTGGCCGAACAGAACAATTTAACCGAGTTTAAAAAGGTTAAAAATAAAAAAAAGCCAAGTATAATGTAGTAGTTTTTTTTTTAAAAGCTCTTTTATGTTCAAATTTTAAAAAAAATCGCAATAGTCACGGCATTTAAAAAATAATTTTAACTTAATTTCGCCCAGAATCGTTATAAATGCCTTTATCGTTGTAATATAAATCGAATAACAAAATGGTTATCCGAGTCATAGATACATGTATGATGGATGTACTCGTATACATTATATTGTATGCGTCCATCCTTCTAGATTCTCCACCTACAACAATCGGCACACCAATCAGCAAGACCAGTTTTTTTTTTTCTGAAATATTTTTACAACCGCCTTTTCCTATAAACACGAAAATATATACGTCGGTAACGTGTATACAAGCTATATTTAGATTCTGAGCGAAGCGAGGAATGTATTAGTTTACAATGATGTTTGTTTTTATTATTATTATTTATTTTTTATCGGCAATTTTGCCACAATGAAATTAAATCGGACTGGGGAGACACTTTAGTGAGATCATTCATTGATTTTCCCAGAAGTTTTCCCGACAATTGGGAAAAACCGGAAAAAAAAAAAGATGAAAAACGGGAAATTAGGTACAGTACTAAACAAATATTGCTAAAGAAAATATATATATATATATAACGCGATTGTTATTTTGTCATAATATCGCGCACGATACATACTATACCGTAAACAAAGCAACACTATCAGCCGAACTCCGCTCAGAATCGGTTTTTTCGTTAGCATCGGTTAAGCATCCGCGCTTTCAGGTATACGAGCTACGTCGGATTGCATATGCATAACGGCGGCTGCGCCCGTCCCCATTGTCCCCGGGGAGCTTGTTTTTTCCCCCCGGGAGGCGATCAGTCGCACAATACGCACGAGAAACGGTAGTTTATTGCAGCGCATATTATCACGCCGTGTGTACGTTTTAATACGACGGCGTGAGAGTTTCACAAAATTTCCGATCGGGAGAGGGCGCGGTGCCGCGGCGAACTCGGCCTTTGTGCCGGGTCCGCACCGCCGCGGCCGTTCGCATCGAACGCGATCGAGATCGGCATAAATACCGTTGCGATATCGCATAATGAAGTTAATTAATTAACAATATCGCGGCACGAACCGATTGGCGTACCAACGGCGGCGGCGCAAACGTTACAGGCGTGTACACGGGCGCCGCGTACGTGTACAACGCAACGACACCTGTAATTACGCGTTGTGCTGTATTAACAGCGGTATTCGCGACACCGCTATAATGGCGTGGGTGCAGCAGGTGCGTAGTATAGCCGTAGCGGGTACACCTAATTAAAATCGTTTCGCGGTCGCGTTTAATTAATTAAAATAATAACAAAAAAAAAAAAAACGTATATATATAATTTCGCGCGGAACTACACATTGTAATATTTCGGCAAACGACATGCGATCGGTGAGCAGCGCCGGTATAACCCGCGTCGAAAACAGCGCGCGGAGTCATTATTTCCGACGGGTCCCGAATAATTGTTATAATGTCATCTGTGATTTCGCAATCGACCCCCGTAAATTAGTACGCGATGAACTAACCCGAACCGTACGGGGTTTTTTCCCCCGGCCATTTGGGTTGATATTAAATACAGTCACTGCAGACGGTGTTCCGGAAAAAAAATGCCACGGTCTGCGGGACGGTACTCCGTCATATTGCGCTGCCCTCAGAATAGATTTTTTGTGATTTTTTTTTTTTTTTTTTTTCTACGTTCAAACCTTGTTTTTCCGGGTTCGTTATTATTATTATTATTATTATTTTTTTTTTTTGTAAAATGTTCATGAAATAATAAAATAAACTGTACCGAAGAATTTCATGCGGAATTCTCGTACAAGACAAGGGTTCGGTCGATTTATTCCAAAAACCATTATTATACGTTACCGTTATTTTCGACTTGTATCCAATGTTGTGCATTTTGAGTGAAACGCGATTTTGTATGGATTTTTTCGTTATTAACACGTGATAATAATATGCAATAAACGCAGTCGAATTCGTTCAATTATATTATTTGTTTTACTATCGATCAATTCGTATTTTTCCGATAGGTTTATTGAATCAGCATCCGAGTTAAAAGCGTATGTGTCCAATTAGACGTCACTAAAAAATGTATATTATACAAAATCATGTCGTACGCCAAAAATTACGATTTCGAACACCATAAGTGGAACGATTTAACGATTTCACTATACTTTTGGAACGAATCGAGCGGGCGCTTTTCACACGTTTCGCCGGAAATTTCGCGGCTTATATCCATTTTGTGTGAATGTTTTACGACTAAACCGGGAAAATTCAAGTTTTCGAAAAAAGATTTAAAGAAAAAATCTATTTTAACGGTCGCGCGTCCTGTAGTGCGAGATCGTTTTTGTTTCTGGACGTACCCGGAGCCGAGACAGGGGCCGATTTAAAGAAACATAGGTCCTGCGCACTGCATGCAATTCCGATGACCTTGGTTTTATGCTTATTCTCATCGCTCTTCGTCGTTTATTGGATACGATATTTTTATCGTATTTTTTAATAGAACGGAAATGGGGACGGGGAGGGGAGGCTCGAGCTCGTGCGCCGCATGCACGTCCGGTATAATCCGGTAGGCGGGGCCCCCGATCCGCAGGGCGAACGTAAGTTCCAACGCAAAACATAATACACCCGTCGTATGTTCCGACACGAATAAAAATCGAAACTAATACGAATTTCCTTCCCACTTACTGAACATAAAAGAAATTAGGTACGTCCATTTTTGGTGGTAACTCTGTTAACAATCGATAAGTACTGAATACAATAAAATGGATTGGCCACTACTCTAATAATATTAAATATTCAATGTTATAAATATAACATCTAGTACCAGTGCAGTACAGAAAGTGAAGCATCACATTTTATGGAACTCTGGTTATGTATAACAAGAAATGATCTTATTATTATTAATTCGTATCGGTTTATTTCCGTTCGTGTCGGAACTTACATATCGACGGTGTATTGTTATAAGGGTGTCCGTCAAATTTCACTTTTCTTCAGGAAGCGAAAAAAAAAAACAACCGCAAAACGGTCGATGTTCATCATGGAAAACAATAAAAATAGCTCGTACACACAATACCTTGGATTTAAAAATTTCGCCCTTTAACCAGTTTATGCTCTTAATTTTTTTGATAACATATATGCATTTTTAAATTTTTAGTGGTATACGGCCTTTTAACAAAACACCGTCGATATGACGTATCCGCCTACGGTTCAATCCCACGTCGCCGACAACATTTTTTTTTTTTGTTAATATTTACCTGTGACGCATGTTGCTTGAAGTACGCTCACTCACGACTCCATCCCGCTACAACTCGTCTTCGTTGCCGTTTATGCAGGGTTTACACTACTTCCGCAGTACTAAACTGCAAAACTGTATTGAACTTAAATCATGCGAATTTTAAGACAAATTCTTTTGAACATCTATCTAATCGTTGATTACCTATTGATATTGTTAATAGTGCTTGTACATTCGATAATACTAAATGCGTAAATCTTTTTTAGTTTTAAATTTTTTTTTTTTTTAATATACCTAATAAAACCGGTTTATCGGCAAAACGGCAATCGGCGACGCGGGACGACACGCCGATTACCGGCTGAATTTCGCGTGGGTGTTTACCCAACCCCGATCCGCGCGGGCCCCCCGGACAACTGTCCACTTCCACGCGTAAACACCGGGGACACTGCCGGTAGAGTTGTTGCGGTATTTTCGACGGGCGTGCGGAATAACGATTTTCGAACATTTATTATTCGCCGTGGCAGTGGCACGCGTACATATCGAGTCTCTCCGCCGCCGTCTGGACAGCGCCTACCGTGGACGGCGTACCCGACGACTGTTTGCGTTCGCCGCGAAATTACTGCGTAGGCAACCGCGAACAGGGTAATAACATAATTTCGCCTGTATTGAAATTATGTCACGGCGAATAAACAAGGCCAATTAGATTTACGCCCGGCAAAGGGTACGGGGCGCGCGGACGGCGTTTGAGAGGGGAAAAAACCGACCCCGCCGCGACACACACACACGGACGGGCGGACGGCGATAACATTACGGGTCGGGTGTACCCTGTGGTGTATTTATTGTATCGCTTGTCGCGGATCGCCGGTCCTGTATTTGCGGCGAGGACGGTTTCCGGGGGTACCTATACTTCCCCAGACTTTATTATGATATTTTTCGGCGTCTCGAGACTGTGTAGAAAATTTTATAGTCCGTATGATATAATAATACAACGAAACGGTTCTTTTTTTTTTCTTTTTTTTGTGTGTGAAAAAGTCGGAATTTATTTTATTATTTTGTAAATTCGGAGAAGAAGCGAGGAATGTATCGGTTTTACAATGACGTTTTTATTTTTTTATTTTTTTTTTATCCGTAAACAACTGCTCAACCAGATCTCGTTTCGGTTTCCAAGCGTACCCTTTCCGAAACGAAATTCTATCCCGGGGTGGTACTTTAAGGAGATCGTTTTTTTTAATTTCCGAGCGGAATTATTTTCATAATAATCGGGAAAAACGGGAAAATGTATGTACACGAATAAAAGAAATTGCATTCCGAATCGTTTTTCGTTAGCAATAGTTTATCGTTCAAATTGGCCCACCTTTCGTGCAAATTATGTCCGTCTTATTTTACAACACGTCATATGCGTCCTCGTCGTTTTGTTCTCGTCAAATTTCTCCCGAAAACTGACGCGCCGTCGCGTTATTTTCGGTTACGTATTTATATTATGTTCCCCCGATAGTTTTGGATATAATTTTAGCGACTTTCCCCCCAGCTAAAACCCGGGAATTAGAGTATCTTGTGTTTTCAGGATTGAAACTCAGTGACGGGCTTTGCGAGTAGCGATAGACGCGAAAACTTTGAAAACGACAAGGAGAGGGGGGGGGGTACGGTTATGTTCGTTAACATGCACAAAATCATTCTATTGCACACTGTCGGGAGTGTACAAAACGAGGTGCTCTGTTGTCATTACTATGGTTTATTTAAGGCTCCGGTTATCAGTTATTATTTAAACAAAATTCAAAAGTGATAATATTTAATATACATTTTGTCTGAAATCGATCAGAACTATATTTCGAACGCAAGTAATTTTGAAACATTTTAAAAGATGGTGGTCTATGTATATTTAAAGTAAAAATAAAAAAAAATTCGTGGACGAGGCGGCGGTTAGTTTGACTCATTTGGCGAGCCGCCCCACTCTCGATTTAACAGTGTGATTGAAGTCGATTTGAGTTTCAAATATTATGAAATCCACCGTCGTGGTACGCGAGGAGGGTGTTTTTTTTTTAGCTTTGAACCGTGGCCCGAACACAGACCCCCGTTCAAATGCAATCCGGGGGCACGCGTTTTTGGTTTCGAGGATGTGTCGTTTGGGAAATTCAAATGTCTACCCCGACCCCTACCATTTCTATGTTTAAATTTCATCTTTTTTTGTTTTTTAAAGTAGTACTTATACAGTCGTAGTATACAGTATTGTACTATTATAGTATTCGGTTATTTATTGTATTATAAAGGATATGGTTATAACACAAAATAAAGGGGGGGGGGAATTGTACTCTACAGGGTCATCCGTCCTCGACGAGTCAATCATATATCTAAGAAAGTGTTAATTTTTTTTGGACAACTTATGATATAAGCGGCTCTAAAATGCTACATACATTACCGATGTTTTGTTCCGACATTTATTTGAATTCATCCGTCATCTGCTAATTGTACATTTATTACGTATATCAAATAAATTAAAACTAAAATTAAACTCGAAAATTATCAAGAATCTTATCAAAATTGCACCACTAGAACAACTCTAGAAAAGGTTAAGTATTCTATACAAATGTTAGGTCACTATGACTATTTTTAACAGAATTGCAAACAATAAAAGACGGACATATTTCGTACAAAGGGTGGGACACTGCCGTAGTTGAGAAGTTGGGAAGGTAAGATGTCAAAGATGGTTCAATTTATACATGTGAGCAACGATAAACTATTGCTAACGAAAAACGATTTGGAGCGAAATTTATTTTATACATGTACGTACATTTTCTTAAGTATTTCCAAATTATTATGAAAACCGCTTTGAAAATTTAAAAAAAAAAAAGCGATCTCTTTAAATTACCACCTAAATAAAATTTACTTTTAAAAAAAGTACTATACATAAAAATCGGAGCAAGATTTCTGGTAGAAAAAAAAACATCATTGTAAAACCAATACATTCCTCGTTACGCTCCGAAACTGAAATAACAGTAATGTAACATTTTATTGCTACTCGTTTCATATTATTTACTTCGAAAAAAAATAAAATGTCTATAAAAGTGAATATTTTCTGAGATAACCGCTAATCGAGGTTCGATCGCTCTGTACGTACTGACGATGCCTTTCACGGGCGTTTATTATTATTATTTTTGTTTTTTACGGTTTTTCAGTCTACGCAGATTATTGATAAACGGGAGACGTCTTTGAACGGATTTCGCGTCCGCTGCGATTTCGAACTGGCCGCGTCGTCTCGGCGCTATCCGCGGAGATGGGTACCGGACGTTATAAAAACCAGTAGGGTATACCGCAATGTTATTATAATTATTTGTTCATTTATTTTGTAAAAAAAATCGCCCGTTTGAATTTTTTTTCGATTTACTAATAACGATAAAAATATACGTCAAAGTGATAATTTCGGTTTTAATATACACATGTCAATAAATTTCAATCGTACTTTTTAACAAATCATTTTTCCTCTACATCGTCGCATTCGGCCGATCGACCACACGAATTAGGCGGGTAGGGGAGCGCATATCTTATGCCTTTTCCGGGTCACCTAGTTGTTTTTATTATCGGGGATTTTTTTTCCTTCTTCTGATTTACATCCAACCGCGATCGATACCGTGTAAAAAAAAAAAAAAAAAAAAAAAAACACGCGACTACGGTTTTTCGAAGTTTCGCCGCAAGACGACGCGTACGAAATTCCCGAACACAAATTACCCGGCCGTCGTCGCCGACGAACCGTTACAATAATTACGTATAGTGGCGGTGAGTGATGGTCGCTTACCGTTGACGGAGGCGGCGGTGGCCGCGACGACGAAGCCGACAATCAGTCCGGCAAACAACGTCGATGGACGCATCGTGGTGTCGTCGCGCGGTCGTCGGTGTGCTGGCGCCGATAACGGTACGGTAATGAGACGGCCGGCGGCCGTGGTCGTCGCGCGCGTCCGTGCGGATGCGATTATCTCACGACGCGGCGCGGCTGTCCGGGACACGGAGACCCGGTGAAAGCCGACGGGGACGCGGGCTGGCGATGCGATTTGATTGGCGGCGGCGGCGGCGCGTCGCGGGCGTAATGCGAATTGTTACGGTGCACGCCAAGGAGTCCGGGACGAACGGTGAGCGGAGAATCCGCGGAGCTGTCGCTGCTGCTGCCGATGCTGCTGTAGTGTGCGTGTCTAGTAAACCGTTGCGGACGACGCGGGCGGACAGCGCATTCTGAGCGGCACCCCGAGACGGCGTCGGTATATAAATACCCACGCGTTTACGGGGCGCGCGTCGTCGTCGTGCAGGTGTCGCGCGAAAGCGCAACCGGCGCGCCGGCGGCGGTCGTGGCCGTTCGGGGCACTCCAACGTCCACGAGCCGCCGCCCGACCCCCTACCGCCGACCCCTCAACCACCCCCACCCCCCTCCTTCCTCCTCCCAACCGCCCCGTTCCAATGCCTGGCTACCGGTTTGACGGATTTTCGTGCCGCCCCCCCCCCACTCCTCCCCGTGTACCTCGTGCCGGCGAAAATCCGATCCCCAGCCGGATTCAGCGCCACGCTTGAAAATCCATGCGAAATTTGAGCGGTGATAGAGTCGTTCGGCGGAAAAAAAAAAACCACCATTTTAAAGGGTAAAACGTTCGACGACAACGCGATTGTATGCGTTTTTCGACGGATTAGAGATAATATTGAAAAAAAAAAAATATTAATAATAATAATAAAATCAACATGATTGCGTTCGTATTCGCATGCAGCGTTATCGAATTTGTATACTACACACTCAATATAATTATCCAGTACATTGATTTTATCTGAACTACAAGCAATAAACATACACACCATACACATACGCTGTGTCCCGCCGACGGATTTTTCAAACGCTGTTAATATTACATTTTTTTCGGTTTTTTTTTTTTTTCAATCGGTTTATCCCCGAAGGAGACATCGATTTGAAGAAAAATCAAATTTTTATTTTCATCCGTTAACCACAAAAAAAAAAAAAAAAACTTTTTATTTATTCGCTTTAGAAAATTTTCAGAACAGCCATATTGTAAAAATTTTAACGTATCATACATTCACAGCCGATGAATAGTTTCTTAATTATAGCCGTTTTAATTAGGCGTGAAAACAATTAACACTCAATGGAAGGTAAATAATTAATAAAATGCCGATTGTAATAATCGCTTATCGCGTAACGTGTTATTTTATTGAATATTAATTGTTTTCACGCCTAATTAAAACGGCCATAATTAAGAAACTATTAATCGGATATGAATGTGTGATAAATAAAGTAGCTATTTTTGAACATTTACTAAAGTGAAGAAATAAAAAATGATTTTTTTTTCGTGTTCGGGGGATGAAAATAAAAATTTAATTTTTTTCCAAATCGATGACAAACCAATTGGAAAAAAAAAACCGCAAAAAATGTAACATTAACAGCGCTAAAAAAATCCGTGGAACCTAAGATGGGGACACACTGTATTATATTTAATAAAATAGTTTTAAAATACCTACATTTTAATCTCTAAACATCTTAAAGCTTATACTTTTAAACATTTCTACATATTTGTGTGGGTTTTACATTCATCGTAAACCATTATAATGTTTTCAATATTCGAATAAAATACTATTTCGCCATTTTCTTTATTTTCCCGACATTATTCAATTGAATTAAAATTTATTGAAATTTAAAAGCAACTATTTTCCTTCGTTGGATTTTATAAGTTAAATAGAATTTTCGTCAATGAAACGTACACACGTGTGACCGTTAACGACGAACTGAACGGCAGAAAATACCTATATACGTTTGAATCAACGAGATTTCCAGCATATTAAGATTTATTCGATATTGCGTCAACACCGTTCACAATAAACGTTTATGGAAAATCGTCAAGTATTCACGTATTATTTCCGGTTCACTCGTGCGATTATATTATACCGGTACGGCGATTGGCAATAACGCTTAAAATTTCGTACTCAATTGTGTAACCAAAAATCAAGCAACGTCGTACGCGATCGTGTAGCTTAAAAATGTGTCACGTGATAACGAACGGTCGCGATCGTGTTTTACCCATTGTAAAACCGATAAATTTCTCGCTCCGTTCAAAATCTAAAATATTGTACTGTATAAATAGCCGTCTTTTAACGAGCTACAAAAAACGGAAATCTTCATCGAGTGTCGTGTCCTTAATTGTTCAGGGGTGTTAATGTTCATAGACCCGGCTGTGCTTTTGGCACACCCCTCGGAAATTTACTATTCCACCGGGGATGAAAGTCTGAAATAAACACTGACCGTAATAATGGCATGACGGTCGCGGTTGAAGTATCAGTACGAGTTTTTTCATATTCCCGAGACATTCGGAGCGACGTTAAATCTAATATCAAACCCGTTCTACCTCTTCTGGAAAGTGTAATTAAATTCCGGTCATTAAAATTTGTAAAGCGCTAGAAAATTAAATAGTTCGTATTTTAAATTGTTTTTATTGTTTTGCACGTTGACGTTTTAAATTTGTACGGTCGGGACGTACAACTTTTTTTTTAAATGCTAAAATGATTATAAACATTTTAATTAATAATTTTAGTATATAATATTATAAAATTATATACCTATCGTCAGGCCCGTCGTAAGATATTTTCCGCCCTAAAGCGAACATTTTGATGCCGGTCTTTTTTGACGCCTATTAATTTCATTTTTCCGTTTCAATTTGATTGAAAAATTGTATGCCGCCCTAAAGCAACGCATGACTTGCTTGTATCCTAGGGACGGGCCTGCCTACCGTGTTCGAAATGGTTTTCTTAATGGAACAAATTTTGACTTCTCAATAACGAACTTTCCTCCCGTTTCGACACGAGCTTAGCTTTTGAAACGGAAACCGAAACCTAATTGATTCGTATATCGTTGTTATTTTCGTGTGTATCATTCAATTTCGGCGTCAATGAAATATTTTTTTTTATTATTTGAAAAAAAAAATATCTGGCATTTTCACTAAATCGACTGATACGCCGATACTATATCGCCAGTAGATACGCTTCACGTCACTTTCACCTTTCGTTTTTGTCATTCGATTTTTCCGCCCACCGTCGAAAAAAGTACTTTTATCTAAGCAAAAAAGATAATATTACCAAAATAAGACAGCTACGCAAAAAAAAAAAAAATAAACACGCGTTTTATTTGAGCTGTATTTTCGTTTCATTTTCCCGAGGGTTTTGTCTCGTCCCTAGTTGAGAACCACTGGTTTAAACGATAATCGATTTAAATTGAATTTTTATTTTAAAATATTACGATTTTACAGCCATACTACTGTAGGAATCGAAACTTAATTACATTATTATAGATAAATAATTGCGAAAAGAAGGCTCCGACGAGTGTTTCTGATCGATCCCCGGTCGTTCGTTATCGTGTTATCGTTATTACACATTATTTTAAACTTTATTACTATTAGGTACCTAATGTAGACGATTGTTCAGTTGTTCAGTCATGTGGCTGGTAATAATAGCTAAAAATCTAAAAACTCCAATGTGACGGAACAAAAAGCTCATTACGTGATAAGCGACAGTAATCGGTACTAGGGTTACGCATCTATATTTTATGTTTATATAATTAAAATTAAAAAAAAAAAATATAAAATGTAATAAGTAAATGATATTTTATGAAAAAAAAAAAAAAAAGAAGAATGATAAATATTATAGTATAACAAATTACACGAATTTGTTTAGCGAAATATTTAGAAAAATGTACAAGGGAGCAGTGCCCTTAACTGCTTCCGTCGTTTTTGACCCTGCAGCGTGGGAGAAAGGGTAACAGGATTGATCGTTCACCTTCATTTTGTTTTTGTTTATTAAATATTCAATATGCAATGTATACGAACTTAACCTATAACCTATTCGTTTTGATTCTTCAATGGCAATTTATCTTGCGCCGCCATCCCCGAAAATGTTTATTCTTAGGTGTCTTAGGTTTGCAGCTTCGTTTGCTACCTGTGTTCCCTTTTATTACGTTTCCTACGCTGTCCGCCGCTGTGAGCGTCATATATTAACGGAAAGTTGACAAAAAAAAAAAAAAAAAAAAAAAAAAAAAAAAAAAATGGAAAAAAAAATCGCATCGTCGTAAAACTAAATAGCTACACGCAACGGTCTGCGTAGTAATACAGTAGGTATACTACCGCTGGCGTTCAATCTCTGCGGAATTAAGGCGCCGAACGGAACTCTTTAATAATAGCGTTTCGATAAAATGTGTTTTCCGCAAAATAATAATAATAATAATAAAAAAAAAAAAAAATGGAAAAAAAAATCGCATCGTCGTAAAACTAAATAGCTACACGCAACGGTACTATACGTTCGGGATTTTAAATTGAATAATGATTGTCTGCCCCGCGCACAAAGGGTCGGCGTCAAAACGTTTCGGATCCGGCCCGAAAGTAATTTGATTTTATGTACCCAAGAAAATGCTATAACCCGTAAGACACACTATTAACTTGTATCGTCCGCGCGGCGAAATGTTTACTTTCATTTGTTTTTTTTTTTTTTTCTTAAACCTGTACTCTATTCAGGTAATATTATGCGCATACCGAGGCGCGCGTGATGATTTGACGTCCGCTCGGACAAAATCGATTCGAACCGAACGGGCACCGCGCCGATCCATCGCCACCGCATAATAACGTGTCGGTACACCGACAGTTGTGCACGAACACGGTGGAAACCGAACGAAACGTACGAAATATCGCGTGCATTTTCGCGGGCGCGCCACAACTTATTCATTCGATCCGCGGTATCGCGGGCGACGTTTACATTCGACCGTGCAAATAATACGTCCGTTATTTTAGCGACCCTCGCCTCTTGATTACGCCCCTAGCCTAGTACCGTTATCTCTCTGATCGACACTCTATTGTCGGCTGTATGTTTTACGTGTATACAACGTACGTATGCAATCATAACGCGTTTGTACGAGTCAAACGAATGTTTGTTCGCTACGAAAATAGGATCGTAATTATAGTGAGTTTTCGGGTCGGGTTCGTATGGGTGGTTATAGA